GACAGTCTTATGGAAACTCCCTTGTAGTTAACTAACTGCTTTTCTCTTGCTGCTTTTAAGATTCTCTCTTTGTCTTGAACCTTTTGCATTTTGATGATGATGTGTCTTGGTGTGGGCCTCTTGGGGTTCATCTTGTTTGGGACTCTCTGTGCTTCCTGGACTTGTATGTCTGTTTCTTTCACCAAGTTAGGGAAGTTTTCTGCCATTATTATTTCAAAAAGGTTTTCGATTTTTTGTTCTCTCTCTTCTCCTTCTGGCATCCCTAAGATGCAAGTGTTGACACGCGTGAAGTTTTCCCAGAGGCTTCTTACACTATCCTCATTTTTTTAGATTCTTTTTTCTTTTTGCTGTTCTGATTGGGTGTTTTTTGCTTCCTTATATTCCAAATGGATGGTTTGCTTCTTGGCTTTACCTACTCTACTATTGAATTTGTGTAAATTATTCTTTATTTCAGTTAGTGCCTCCTTCATTTCTGACTGGTCCTTTTTTATGCTCTCGAGGCCCTCACTGAGTTCCCTGAGGTTCTCACTAAGTTCATTGAGGATCCTTATAAGCAGTATTTTAAATTTGGCATCTGTTAGGTTGCTTATCTCCATTTAGCTTAGTTCTTTTCCTGGGGTTTTGTTCTGTTCTTTCATTTGCAACCTGTTTCTTTGTCTCCTCATTTTTGCTGCCTCCCTGTGTTTGTTTCTATGTATTACTTAATGAGAGGTATGGAGCTAGCTGACACCAGATGCTGCTTGTTTGAAAGAATTTAGGAAGCCCTGAAGCAGGATCCAAGACAAGCCAATCCTATACTTAAGCAACTGGCAACAGCTTGGGCAGGCCTGAAAGTTGGATGGTGTGGGGTCTCAGGGAATCACCGGGGGTGGGCAACCAGCATGAGCCAGGTTGCTGGAGTCCCAGATATGGTGGTTGTCTGCTGCCCCAGGGAAGGACTCGCCAAAGGAACAAAGGCCTCTGACAGCACATTTGTCCTGGAGAAAACCCTCTCTCCAGCCCTCACTCCAATGCCAAACAGCTCAGTTCTTTCCTGTGTGTCTCTGGCGCCCCTTGAGCTGCCTCCTCTCCAAATTTAGAGGGAGAGAGTCCGATAAGTCCATGCGCGGGCCCTTTAAGAGGAGCTTCCTGGTGCTCCAGTCACCTCAGCCTCCCTGAGCCTCAGTTCCTGCTGGTTTTTCCAGCCAGAAGTTATGGGGACTTCTCTTCCTGGCACTGGAACCCTGAGTGGGGTGCCTGGTGTGGGACAGGGACCCTCAGTCCTCAGGGAGGACCTTCCCAGCCGAGGTGTCCTCCTGATTTTTATCCGCCACATGTGGGTGGGAGCCAGCCTGTCTCGCCTCCACCCCTGCTCCCAGTCTCGATGCAGCTTCTTCTTTAATTCCGTAGTTGTAGGACTTCCATTCAGCTTGATTTCAGATGGTTTTGAATGATGGTTGTTCTGTAGTTTAGTTGTAACTTTGATGTGGTTGTGGGAGGACGCGATACTGCATTTATCTACGCCACCATCTTGACCAAAAGTCCTGAAGCTACATTTTTAAGAGGAGAGGCAGGCAGTTAAAATATAAATAAGTAAATGAATAAACATATAAACAAACAACAGTATTATAGTGAGTGAGGAGAGTAGTAAAACATGAAGCCAGAGAACATCAGGCGATTTCATATGGATCCTAGATACTATCATAGATCTGCAGCTGCTACTCTAAGATCGGAAGCCACTGAAAATGTTTGAGAAGAAGAAACACATAATGAGATGTATGTTAATGAGGTCACTTCAGATGATTTGTAGATAATACACTGTGATGGACTAAGAAAAACAGTAAGATCAATTAAAAGGCTATTTTAATAAAGTAGTCTAGAGATGATGATGTCTTAAATCAGCACAGCAGCAGTGAACATGGTAAGAGATGGTCAGATCCGCAATGTTTTGAGGATAGAGACAACTGGATTTGCTGATGGATGGAATACAAATGGGGTTGGGGAAAGAATCAAGGATGACTCCTGAGCAGCTGAAAGTATGTAGTCTCAATACCCTAAGATAGAAAAGGCTATATAAATACCAGGAAAGTCCAGGAGATCAGGAATCCAGCATTGCACTTGTGTTTGCAATATCTACTAGATGTTTAAGTAAAGATGTTGACAAGATAGTTGCTTCTGTGAGTGTGAAATTCAGAGAAGTTTGTATTAAATATGTAAATTTGGCAGCTCTCATGTACAGATGATAGTTAAAGCTACAAGATTAGATAAATACCGCCTCATTAATAACTATATAGAGAGAAGAGAGAAGTTTCAAGAATTGAGCCCTAGGAATTGGACATATTTAGACACTGGGGAAAGAAGGAAGATTCAATAAAACAGACTCAGAGGAAGCAATGGGTAAGTATGGAGGAGATCCTTGACCAACCATAAACTGAACTCTTCAAAAGGTGGAAATGGCAAATTGTGTCACATGCTGCTAAAAGGTTGAGTTAGTCAGCATTAAGAATCGGCCATTGGATGTAGCAAGGTGCAGATCATTTATAACATTAACAAGAAGTGTTTTGTTGAGTCAAAAGTAAAATTCTGATTGAAATAATGTCAAGAGAAATGGAGATAAAAGAACTGGAGACTAATGTACACTCCTCTTTCAAGAAGTTGTGTTATTAAATTCAAGAATAGGATAGCTGGATAGAAAAAGGAGTAATGTAAAAGAAATACATTTTTAAAAGGTAAAAAAAAGTGCATGTTTGCATACCACTTAATTGAGACGATGCAGTGCAGAAAGAGAACAATTGCTATGTGATGCCATTGAGGAGGCAAGGAGGAATGGAGTGCAATGTATTCATTGTGGGTAGACCTTAGAAGCATGGGCAACATATTCATAGAAACAGGAGAGAACTAGTCTATATTGGCACACATCTTGATAGTAAGGTAGATGTGATAATGAAAGAGGTGCAATTTATTTTTCTGATGACTTCTTTATTCTCAGTGAAATTGAAAGCACGGTGATCATCTGAGAGTAAGTAAGAGGAGACTTAGAGATTTGAGGATAGAAGGGAGAATGCAAAATAGTCAGCTAAAAGAATTAGAGAGAGAATGAAAGAAAGACTGTAAGATTGCTCATCAGCACAGATTCACTTAATACTGACACCACACCTATGAGATACATAGTGTTATTATACCTTTGTTATAGATAAGAAAACAGAAGTGCAGAAATATTTCCCCCAGAAATTGGAAGAGATATCGCAAGAAGATAAGAAGACACATGTCAAAGAAGTTAAATATAATATTTCAAAGGAAAGGGTTTGTTCAGTGGTTCCAAATATTATTGAGAAGGCAAGTAAGACGAAGAACCAAAATATCCGTTAGATGTAGCAATTGTGAACTCATTGGTAATAGACAGCTGTATGGGTAGAATAATAAAGGCAGATGTCTGAGAGAAATGTGTTAGGATGAGCTGAAGGTAAGAAAATTACCAAAAGATATATAAAACTTATGAGAAGTTTTTAGCTGAAAGGGAATGAAAAAGAAAGTAATGCTAGGGGCCTGTGGAATATAAGATTGAGGGTAGGGTATTTTGAAAGGGAAACACTTGAGCTTATTTAAATATTAAAAGAAAGCTTTCAGTTGTTATAGATTAGTTAAATTTTTGAGACTACAAGAGGGATAATCAATAATGTGAGATAGGGGTGAGGGTAGAATCCCAATCACAGATAAGGAATTGTATTGGCAAAGGGTTTTCTCTTCTAATACAATAGAAATCACAGACATCTAGACAGGTTTTTACAGGTTCTTTGCACATTTACCTATTAATGTTTTCTTTTTTTGTGTTGATTTGAAGGAGTTCTATATTATAAAGATATTTACCCTCAACTTTTATTATATATGTTGCATGCATTTTTAGAGTTTCTGTTTGTCTTTCAACTTAAATTAATTTGAGACTTACAGCATAAAGAAGTTTTCATGAGTAAGTTTGGATGAAGGTGGTCAAAAGGTACAGCACTAAGATAAGTGAGTGCTAGGGATATACTGCACAGCATGGTGACTATAGTGAACACTCCTGTGTAATATATAGAACAGTTATTAGGGGAGTAGAGCCTAAGAATTCTTAACACAGATGTGTGTTGTTGTCTTTCACAGCATATGTAAGTTAAGTCATTATGCTGTACACCCTAAACAGTGCTGTGTATCAATTACATCTCAATGAAGGTGGAAATAAAAGTTAGAAAGATAGCCCTGGCTGGTATGTCTCTGTTGGCGGAGTGTCCCTCTGTGCACCACAGGGTTGCTGGCTCGATTTCCAGTAGGGGGCGTGCAGAAGGCAGCCGATATGCTTCTCTCTCACATCAATGTTTCTCCCCCACCCCCTTACTTTCTCTCTAAAAATCAATACAAATATATTTTTAAAAATATAATACTATTTTCCCTCCCTTCCCCTTGTTGCCCCAATGACTATCTGGGTTCTTTCATCAGGGTGGCGGTGAAGTAAGGATTACTATCTTGTGTTCCATACAACCATCTAAAGGTCATTATAACCATGGCCCAGACCTTCATTTAGCTGGAAAATAAAAATTCTCAATACTTCTATCTAGTTTATTATATTAAATTTTCCTTTACAGTCTCTAAACATGGCATTTTAATTAGAAAGACTTTTAACCAAATTTTGTATAAACATTTTTCAATCACTTTTTCTAAGGCATACATGTTTTTCATTTTTGAATTTTCAGTACACCAGGAATTATTTATAGTAGGCATGAAGTAGGGCTCTCTGCCCAGCCCACCTGCACCACCACCATCACCACAGTGGTTGCTTTTAATTAGTACATGATGTCTACCCTTCAGGTTTTTGCCTCAAGCACCTCACAAATTGTGTAACATGATCAAGGAACACTTCCTTTAACAGGATCAAAACTGCCTATCTACCTGTTAGAGACTTCATTCTTGGTGTAGAAGCAAGGACGAAGAACTGTGCACATTTTTTCTCAAGCATATGCACCCCTCTGCAACCAGAATCATTCAGAATGCTTGCCCGAGATTTATTTGTCATGATTATACTCACTTCTCAGATTAAAGGTATGTCTTAATCTTTCCAGTAGGGTTTCTTTTATTATACAAGGAGGTAATGTCTTTTAATCACATAGTTTAAATTGTAAATGATAAAAACGTTAATATGCATTGATGATTTTTCTGAGAACACAGCGTAGGATTTGGACTAGATTAGAGAAAATTTTGATATTCTGTGGTTCTACGAAATGCCATGTCATTCCTAAGTACTCCAAATTACAGTGGCAAGGAGGCAGGGGTGAACAGACGCTGTGCTGGCTATGAGCCACTCTGTATATTAGCATGCTTAGAATTTTGTATTGAAGGACCCTCCCCTTAACAGATAAAGAAATCAGAGAGACTAGTTGTGCTACTCATGGTCATATTGCTAATAAGCTGGTAAAACTTTGATTCAAATAAGAGTAGATTCTAAACTCCCACACTCTTTCCTCCATATGGCACTTCAGTGAGATGAGCAGGGCTCAGCCTCCGATGACTACAGGAAATGCGTTGATTAAGTTTAGCACTGATTGAAGAGTGCACACAATCCCTTTAACAAAGGAAGCCTTCTGTTTAGTTACTTGAGTGAAGACTTCAATTGCAAATGTCCCTGGGAGATAAAAACAGCAACTGACATTGAAACAGTCCGTTCTAGGGCAAGCTTTGACAGGTGGCAGAGTCAAGAGACATGCATGAGGAGAATCAGGTTCAGAGCTGACAACTTAGAACAAGGTTAAATGATGGAAGAAGCTGGAAGAACCTGATTTCTTTACCTCCTTTCCAATTTTACTTATATTTTTCTAACTTGGAAATAGCTGTCTCAGTTTCTTTCCCTGTAAAGTAGGTGTGCCGTTTCATAGTGATGTTGTACATGGCTGCTAATTGGGAGCAAGTGAGCTGGAGAAGAGGGATTCTGTTCTCCAGTCTCGGTGGGTGAATGTTAATGCCGCGTGTTCTTTCCCCCATTGCTTCCTTTCAGAAAAGGCAGTCCTTGGAGTAGATGGTCAAGAACTGATTTATCCCAAAAAGCTTCCTGTGATACAGAAACGAGATGTTTGGCACACTCATGATTATGACATCCAGGTATAGATTTTGAAATAATAAATAAAATGTATTGCTTTTACAGGTGTGTGGAAAGCAACCTCTGTTTTCAATTAGAAGCAAACAAAAGGGGAGTCTCCATTTTTCTCAGGACTCCCCAACAGCTTACTGACTGTGCTTGGGTGGGTGAGAGGGAGAGGATAAGAGAAAAGCAGCCCCTTGACAGATTAGGAAACAAAAAGGAGTAAAGTTCAGATTTTAAAAGGTGCTATTGAACATGTTCCAGTTTATGTGAGAGGCTCCACTGGCAGCTTTCCAGACAGATGTAAGGCAGCGTCATTTGTCCTGAACTGGCTCCCTGTGAACTGTGATCTCGGGGCATTTTGCTTTCACAGTGACCTGATATGCAGGCTTGTTTGCTTTACAGATTCTGTGGCAAAGTTGGAAAATTTTTCCAGGAACAAAAATGCCTACTTGGCCTCTTGGTTAGAAGGGTGTAATTTATTCAGGTGCCAAAATTAAAAACAGTTACAATTTTATTTTTTAAAGTAATTCATGTTTACTTATGTAGAAAATATGTAATAAACATCATGGGCACAAGCTTTAAAATGAGGTTATTTTCAATTCCTGCTATTGTAAAAGACATTCAATGATGGCCCTCAGGTATTCACAACCAGACATTTGCATTTTAAGCCTCAGGTTTTTTATTTGGCCCATAGAATATGAACTGTCACTTTGTCCCACCCTTTCTTGCGGGGGCCAGCCTCCCCCAGTGCAGTGACTTCTCCTCCCTCCCGCAGTGCAAGAGCCAGCCTCAGGCTTTCCCTTGCGGGCTTCTCGGTCTTAAGGAAGGCGCATTTCCTCTTCCAGATGGTGCCACTGAGGCCTCTTTCCCATGGCCTGAGATGACGGAAAAGCAACTCTATCTGCTGCCATTTGGAAATAATGACTAAACATTTTTGTGTAATAATCTTCTTACAAATTGATTGGTCTTGAACACCAATTCTTGTCAGCTTCTCAAACCTTTTACTGGTTGAATGTTGGTACTCAGCTAAGAGGCCAAAACCAGGTTTCTACTGCCCTTTAATTAAAAGCTGGTGGACTCTTCTGGCATCTATTTTCTTAAGACTTAATCACGACTGATATTAAAAGTCCCATAATGAATATACAAGATGAGCCTGAAGTGAGACAGGAAATACACAGGTTGTGTTTGGAGCTCCTTGTAGTACCAGAAGGTAAGAAAGTGCTCAACTAAGAACCTGAACCCACAATGAGGGGAGTATGTTAAAAGAACACAGGAACCAACTGAAATAGCTCCCAATGTCCAAAGAAGAAACAATTTGAGTAATAAAATATAAAAATAATAATAACACAGTTTTGGACTATAACGCAAAGTATAAATTAATTTCCATGACTCCATATTGATATAAATCAGTGATTGAATAAGTAAATAAATGGGAGAATAGACAAATACCCCATATAGAAGAATTAAAAAATTGATGTAGATATTTCTTTCTGCAGGAGGTGAACATAACTCCTCACCCTTTAAGCATGGGCAGTGCCTCGTGACTTCCTTTCAAAGAGTGGAAGGGGGAAAAGTGTACTTTATAGTGGAGAAAGTTATCAAATGCCTCCTCAACCAGGTGATCACGGTTAATATCCCAGTGACAAGTCACATCCATAGTATGTACTATTGCTATGATGTGATAAAAATTTCACTTTATTTTGTTTTCTCCCAAATCTCCACAAGCCTATTCTAAGTATGAAAAAAAATATGAATCGAAGGATAACCTACAAAAACTTCACCAGTACTCTTCAAAACGGTCAAGGTCATCAAAAATAAGGAAAGTCTGAGAAACTGCCATGGTCTAGAAGAGCCTAAGGAGACATGATAATTAAATATAATGTGGTGTCCTAGATGAAATCTTAAAGCAGTAAAAGGACATTAGACAAAAACTAAAGAAATCTGGCTAAGTGTAGGCTTTAATTGGAATACAACCTTGGTTCATCAGTAGTAATACATACACCACAGCAATATCAAGATGTTAATAAAAGGGAAACCTGAGTTGTGGAATACATGGGAATACCCTGCATTGTCTTTCCAATCTTTCTCTAAATCTAAAATGATTCTAAAATAAATAATAAATGTAAGAATTAAATACAAATAAATAAAATTCTAGAATAATAAAATCAAATATTCTGTTTATTAAAACAATATTAATGACAAGATTAACAATTATTTGATCACATTTGACCATATAAAAATTAGTCCTCAATATTAGCTAATATAAAATTCATGTTCACTCACATTTTGAAGAGTCCTGATATACCATCATGTTACACAGACACAGACACACATCTACACATCGACACACAAAGGGCATCATGTTGTAAAAGGGAACTCATTATTTAATGGAGCATCTGTTTCTTGCCTGCCCACTGTGAATACTGGGTCTTTATAATAAAATTCTAATTTTGTGTTAAACTTGCAATAATAAGAAGCCCTAACGGATATCCGCACAGCTCACATTCAACAAACACAAAACTCCTTTCTCCCTTCCTCAAAGCTGCCTCCTTTCAGAAGTTCCTCCTCTTAGTAGTGGCACAGTTAAACAAACCAGAGACCTGAGGTAATTCTTGATTCCTCTCTTCCGCCTCCCCCATTGAACAATTACCAAGCCTTGTGGATTCTATCACGTAATTATCTTTCAAAATTGTCCTTATTCTTGCTGCCACTTCCCTGCCCAAACCACTGGCATTCCTTCAACAGCCTTTAAATGCTTCTCCTGCCTACAGTCGTGATTTCTGCTGATCCATTACCCATAATAAGTTAGTCATCTAAAGTATCTTACCTACTTTTTGTTCATTGATTTCACTTATATGTGAATCAATGATTTCATATATCAGTGAAATCAATGAACAAAATAAACTAATGAACAAAATAGGTCCAGAGGCATGGAAGCATGGCAAAGATTGATGGATCTCAGAAGGAAGAGGGAGGGGACAGAGATTAACCAAAGAACTGATATGCATAGCCCTTGGACACAGACAATAGCATGGTGAAGGCTTGGTGAAGAGTATATATATTCTGCCTAAATCTTTTCCTTCTCTTTGCCCTTAAGATAAGTTCTAAATCCTTTTAAGTGACTTATTAGGCTGTACATGATTTGTCTCCTTCTTACCTTTTTATTTTTTATTTCTAGTCAACTTCACTTTTCAACAACACTATACTTTGCTCTGTCCCTCAAACATGTCAAGCTCCTTCCTACCTCAGGATCTTTGCACGTGCTGCTCCTTGTCACGGACTCTTTCTTTCAATGTCCCTGATGCACTCACTGTGTTTCTCCTGTTATGATGCTCATAATAATTACATTTGCTTTATTATTATTATTATTTTTGCTGAGCTGTAGCTTCCATGAGAGCAGTGACCTCTAACTTGTACTCCATTGTATTTTCCATATTATCACTGTGACTAAAATAACATCAATTGAATAAGTGAATGAACAATAAACTGAAGAAATGTGTAAGATATATGGCCAATAACTGTGACTCCTTAAATTATAAAAAATTCTTATTAATTATAAAGCAATAAAATGCCAGAAAAGAAAATGGTGAGAGGACATAAATTAGAAATTTATATCTGAATATACAAATAACTAAACAAAGGAAAATGTCCATTTTAATTGTCATCAAAGAGAAAAATTTATCATAATAAATTATTTTATTATTTGAAAGATTGTATTAATTATAATATTAAAGGCAAGTAAACAAGAACCACTATAAATTTCTAGTGAAAGTCTAAATTTGCCCTGGCCGGTTTGGCTCAGCGGTTGGAGCGTCGGCCTGCGGTCCAGAGAGACCCGGGTTCGGTTCCCGCCGGGGGCGCGTGCTTTGGTTGCGGTTTGTCCCCGGCCCTGGTTGGTCGTGCGGGTGGCAGCCGCTCGATGTGTCCCTTCACGTCAATGTTTCACTCTCTCTTCTCTCTCTTCCTCTCTCTCCCTCCCACTCTATCTGTACAAAAAATGGAAAAATATCCTCGGATGAGGATAAAAAATAAATAAATAAATAAATAAATAAATAAATAAATAAATAAATAGAAAGTCTAAATTTGTGCTTCCATTCTCCAGGATTATCTGGCAGTATTTATCAAAAGCTTTACACTTTCCCATGTAGATAACAATGAAATTCTGTCTAACTACAGTGAATAGCCCAAATCAAATTTCTAATCTAAGTGTAGATAAAATAAGTTCATATTGTGTTTTTCAGCCATAAAATACATACTATAAAAGGATACTTATTAGAATAGAGAAATGTTCATGGCCATGATTTATGTTTATATTAAAAAGTAGGCTATAAGACAGTACACACACATGTTAAAAAATACATAAACAGAAAATTTGTTGCAAGGACATATAATAATGTACGTTTCTGGATAAGTGGACAATATAAATTTTTTCATTTTATTTTGTTTTTTAACCGGAAAAAAAATCAAACATCTAATTAAAAATAAGTTTAAAGCAAAATCCTGCATATATTAGCTCTCTTATAAATTCAGCTTTATCAGTATTTATCATTTTGCCTGAAAAGTCAGCTGGACTGCTGGATGTACTGTCTGCCCCATTACCCAACCCAGCACACACTGAAGGAACACATATTAAGTCACATGATGGATATTGTTTTTCAGGAAACTTATGAAGATGAAGTGTTGTATGAAATAAGTCTAAGTAGAAAAACCTTCATACTTCACCTTTTAAGATCAAGGTAAGTCCTATTATGATTCAATAATGTATGGAAGTATCAGTCTATAGTGTTGCAGTTTTTATAAAATCTGCCAGTGAAGTAAATTCCTCAAGCCATTGCTGTCTGTACATAAATCTGAATTCTTACGCTTCTAATGCAAGCCCACCTCATTTCAACAGCCTCACAGTATAGAGACTGTCCTCCAGTTACTCATTTATTCCCTATTTGGGGTACTAGAGTACCCCACATACTCTAGAGTATGTGGGCTCCACATACTCTAAGAAGACAGTTAATGTATCACTGCTTTGTGAGTCAGTGGAACAAAAGCAATTTGAAAACCATGGTTCTTAAAGTAACTTCAAAGTTATTTAAAATAGATATCAAACCATGTTCTGTTTACACATAGAGCAAAGTTAAAAGAATTTTATAGTGAATGTTCATATACCTATTAATATATACATATACTCATAATGCCATCAAGATATACATATACACATATACCCATTAATATTTTATTATGCTTACTTTGTATCATAATTCTTTGTTTATTTATCCATCCATCCACCCTTATTTTTATGCATTTTAAATTATGTTGCAGACATCAATATATTTCCTCCTAAAAAACAAACATATCATTAGGGTTTAGTGACATAGGAAAAAAAATGGCGGCGGGCAGGACCAGAGGGGGAGTGAGTGTGTGAGAGTGTGAGCAAATATGTGAGAGAGTGTGAGTGGACTTAAAGGTGGATGACCAAACCCCAGCAGTGCAGAGCTGCAGAGCAGAAGGTTCCTGTGCTGTGGACTGGAGCAGCCAGCTACTGCGGTAAGTGGCCCTTCAGGGCACTTCTCTCTGCGCCAAGGGGAGGTCCCACCATTTTGGAAGAACCCGGGTCTTCCCTGGGAGGAGGCAGTGGGAACGGCTGGGGCCCAGCAACCCAAGCCCACCAGCGCACCTGGCACCATCAGACCAGTGGACACTCTGTGTCAACACAGACCGGTGCACAGTTGTGGAGCTCCCAAGGTGCCGGCTGCGGAAGCCTCAGACAACCGGGAGCCCAGCACCATCCCCCATAGTAGCAGCCTGATCAGAGTAGAGATATAACCCCAGCAACATAGGCTGGGGAGCAGACATCCATCCCCAGGCAACAGAAGCACAGATGAGCAGCTGAGACCCATCCCCAAAAACTGTAGCAAAAGCTGAGCAGCAGTTGAGCCCCACAGGGCAGCAGCACTCTCCTGAAGCTCCACAGAGGCCTGTGGAATCCAGTAGCCCATAACAGCAGTGGGAAGCCTGAGCCCAAGAGAGACTGATGCTATCCAGCTGCTTGCTTGCAGGAACTGTAGGGTGTGGGGGCACCAGAGAGGCCTGTGCGACCCAGCAGGAACTGTGTGATCTAGTTACCTACAGGGCCTGTGGGGTGCTGAAGCACCAGAGAGGCCTGCATGACCCAGCAAGGACTGTGCCATCCAGTTACTCGTGGGACCTGCAGGGTGCTGAAGCACCAGAGAGGCCTGTGCGACCCAGCCGCCCATAACATAGGCATAGAGTCAGGTCCCCAAAGCAACTGTGCGATCCAGTTATCTGCAGGACCTGCAGGGTTCAGGGGCACCAGAAAAGCCTGTGTGACCCAGCTGAGCACAAGATAGGCCTAGAGGATGTGAAAATGGAGGCAGAGTGAATAGAAGCTATGTAGATGATCTCCCAGGACCAAATGGGAATTACAACTAAAATAAAGACAAATTCTCAGAAAAAAGCAACAGAAAAGCAGCAAAACAGGACCATATAACCAGGTACACTGGTAGGATCTGCAGAGGAGTGAGAGGGTGGCAGGCTGACGGTCTGGGAGCCCACGGACAGCAACAGTCTTAGATGTGAGCAGCGTCCTTGGGGAATAAAGACCAAGCCTGCTCCACAGCACAGAGAGCCAGGACAGAGCCCTAAAATAGCCACAGCCACTCACCTAGAAGCTACGGCAGAGGGAGGGCAGACTGGGCTGGAACTCTGTGAGGATACTCGGGATTTGGAGGGTACTCAGAGTTTTTGCTGAGTTGAGGCCTCCCCAGAGCTGTGGGGAAAAGTAGCAGACCCTCCTCAGAGAGTCAGCCTTTCCCAGGTGAGGCAAAGAAATAAAAATTGAAGCTCATTAACAACCAGCATCTATCCCACGCTCTGGAAATTCTCTTATGCAGAACACCAGGGCTACATTCCAAGGCACTGAGTAACAGGCTACTAGCCACCAGGAAAAAGCTAGAGGATAACTGAACCTTTCCTAGGCTTGCAAATCTACCCAAGAAAGTAAGACTTCCCAGTGGTGTTTAACGTGGGCCCACCCAGGCTCAGTAAAACCCAGTACAGGGAGCCACAAACAGCAGAACACTAACACCCATAGGGAAAATTTGGCAGTCTCCAAAACCCACTGAGATAGCCAAAATGATAAAACAAAGAAACAAATCCCAAATGAAAGAACAAGAGACCTCTACCGAAGATGAGATCAATGAAATGCAGCTAAGCAAATGATCAGAGGTAAATTTCAGCGCCATGATCTAAAGGAAGCTCAACAGCATGAGTAAGGACATCAGCACCATGTGTAAAGATACAAAAACAATGAAAACCAACCAAGTTGAAATGAAGAATGATATAGCAGAAATTAAAAACACATTGGAAGGACCAACCAGCAGAGTAGAGGAAGCTGAGGACCGGATCAGTGAATTAGAAGACAGGGTAGAAAAAAATCAACAAATCAGAAAACCAAAATGAAAAAAAAAAAAAAAACAAAACAATTTAAAAACAGGAAGACAGCTTAAGAAAACAGTGGGAAACCTGAAAATGTAATAACATTCGCATCATACGAATCCCCGAAGAGGAAGAAAATAGGCAAGAGTTAGAGAATATATTTGAAAAAACAGTGACAAAAAACTTTTCTAACTTGGTGAAGAAAGAAAGCATTCAAGTTCAAGAAGCAAAGAGAGCCCAAACTAAGAAGAACCCAAACAGGCCCACACCAAGACACATAGTAATCAAACTGCAAAAAATTAAAGTCAAAGACAGAATCCTAAAGGCAGCAAGAGATAAGCAACAGGTTACCTACAAAGGAAACCCCATAAGACTCTCAGCTGACTTCTCAACAGAAACACTACAGGCCAGGAGGGAGTGGCATGAAGTAATCAAGCTCATGAAAAACAAGGATCTGAATCCAAGACTACTCTACCCAGCAAGGCTATCATTCAAAATAGAAGGTCAAATAAAGAGCTTCCCAGACCAAAAAAAAAAAAAAAGGCTAAGGGAATATATTAACACCAAACCATCACTGCAAGATATGCTAAAAGAACTGCTATAATTAGTAGAAGAAATAGAAAGAAAAATATAACCACACTAAACAAAAAATGGCAATAAATAAGTACATATCAGTTATCAAATGTGAATGGTTTGAATGCTTCGATAAAAAGACACAGAGTAGCTGATTGGATAAGAAAGCATGTCTCGCATATATGTTGTTTACAAGAGACCCACCTCACAACAAAAGACTCACATAAGTTGAAAGTGAAGGGATAGAAAAAAATCATTCAAGCAAATGGAAAGAAAAAAAAAAAGCTGGGGTAGCAATACTCATATCTGATTAAGTAGATTTCAAAATGAAGACCATAACTAGAGACAGAGAAGGCCACTACATAATATTGAAAGGATTTATCCAACAGGAAGATATAACCTTGGTAAACATATATGCACCCAATATAGGTGCACCAACATATATTAAAAATCTTTTGGAGGACTTCAAAGGAGAAATCAACAGCAATACAATCATAGCAAGGGACTTCAATACCCCACTGACATCACTGGATAGATCTTCTAGGCAAAAAATTAACAAGGAAACACTGACTCTAAATGAAGCTCTAGATCAAATGGATTTAATAAATATCTACAAAGAATTACACCCCAAAACTGCAGAATTCACATTCTTCTCAAGGGCACATGGAAAATTCTCAAAGATAGACGACATGTTAGGGCACAAACTAAGTCTACAAGTTCAAGAAGATTGAAATCATATCAAGCATCTTCTCAGATGACAATAGCATGCAACTAGAAATCAATTCAACAAGAACATGCAAAGACATTTGAAAACATGGAGGCTAAATAGCATGCTATTAAACAATGAATGGGATATCATGGAGATAAAAAAACAACAACAAAAAAAAAACTTAAAAACTTCCTGGAAACCAATGAAAATGAACACACAACAACACAAAATCTATGAGATGCAGCGAAAGCAGTTCTGAGAGGGAAGTTCATAGCACTACAGGCCTACCTCAAGAAGAAGAAAAAAATTTATTAGTCTACCTAACCTCACAACTTAAAGACCTAGAAGCAAACAAAAAGAAATCCCCAGAGCAAGTATAAGGAAGGAAATAATAAAGATCAGAGCAGAAATAAATGACATAGAGACCAAAAACAAACAAACAAAGAAACAATTCAAAGGATCAATGAAACAAAGAGCTGGTTCTCTGAAAAGATAAACAAGATTGATGGACCCTTAGCTAAACTCACCAAGAAACAAAGAGAGAGATCCCAAATATACAAAATCAGAAATGAAAGGGAGAAATAATAACTGACACCACAGAAATACAAAGGATTGTTAACAAATACTATGAACAATTATACAGCAACAAATTCGACAATCTAAGCAAAATGGACAAATTTCTCGAAACATAGTCTCCCAAAACTAAACTGGGAAGAGATAGAAAACTTGAACAGACCAATAACAACAACAAAAATTAAAGATGTAATCAAGACTCTTCCATCAAACAAAAGCCCAGGCCTGGACAGCTTCACGGGGGAATTTTACCGAACATCCAAAGAAGAACTAATACCCATTCTCCTCACACTATTTCAAAAAATTCAAGAAGAAAGAAGACTTCCAACCTCATTTTATGAGGCCATCATAATTCTAATTCCAAAACCAGAAAAAGACACTACAAAGAAAGACAACTACATACCAATATCCCTGATGAACATAGATGCCAAAATCCTGAATAAAAAACTAGCAAATCTAATCCAGCAATACATCAAAAAAATTATTCATTATGACCAAGTGAGATTCATCCCAGGGAGGCAAGGCTGGTACAATATTTGCAAAACAATAAATGTGATACACCACATAAACCAAATAAAAGATAAAAATCATATGATCATATCAATAGATGCTGAAAAAGCATTTGACAAAATCCAGCACCCATTTCTGATAAAAACGCTCACCAATCTGGGAATAGAGAGATCATATTTTTACCTAATAAAGGCCATATATGAAATACCTACAGCCAACATCCTACTAATGGGCAAAAATCAAAAGCATTTCCCTTAAGAACAGGAACAAGACAGGGATACCCACTTTTGTCACTCTTATTTAACATAGTACTGGAAGTCTTAGCCACAGTAATATGACATGAAGAAAAAATAAAAAGAATCCAAATTGGAAAGGAGAAAGTGAAACTGTCATTATTCACAGATGACAGGATACTATACATAGAAAACCCCAAAGACTCCATCAAAAATTTACTAGACTTAATAAATGAATTTGGCAAAGTAGCAAGATACAAAATTAACGTCAAGAAATCCATAGGATTCTTATACACAAATGATGAAGTCACAGAAAGAGAAACTAAAAATACAAACCCATTTACCATAGTGACAAAAAAATTAAGATACCTAGAAATAAACTTAACCAAAGAAATAAAGGACCTATTCGCAGAGAATTATAGGTCATTGAAAATAGAAATAGAGGAAGATATAAAAAAGTGGAAGCACATACCTTGTCCATGGATTGGAAGAATTAACATCATTAAAATGTCCATACTACCCTAAGCAATCTATAAATTCAATGCAATCTACATCAAAATACCAACAACATACTTCACAGAACTAGAACAAATACTTCAAAAGTTTATATGGAACCAAAAATGACTTCAAATAGCCACAGCAATCTTGAAAAAGAAGAACAAAGTTAGAGGGATCACATTACCAGGTTTCAGGTTATACTATAAAGCCCCTATAATCTAAACAGCCTGGTACTGGCACAAGAACCAGCAGATAGATGAATGAAACAGAACAGAGAACCCAGAAATGGACCCAAGGCAATATGTTCAATTAATATTTGACAAAGGTGGCAAGAGCATAGAGTGGAGTAAAGACAACCTCTTCAATAAATGGTGTTGGGAAAATTGGACAGCTACATGTGAAAAAATGAAACTAGACCATCAACTTACACCATACATAAGAATAAACTCAAAATGGATAAAAGACTTAAATGCAATTCATCCATCCATAAAAATCCTAGAAGAAACTGTAGGCAACAAAATTTCAGACATCATACACAGCAGAATTTTCACTGATACATCACCTAAGGCAAGAAATAAAAAGGAGAAAATGAACACATTGGAGTACATCAAACTCAAAAGCTTCTGCACACCAAAAGATACAATCATCAAAATGAAAAGGCAACCCACTGTATGGGAGAGCATAATTGCCAATGAAATATCAGATAAAGGGTTAATTTCCAATACATATAGAGTACTCATACAACTCAACAAAAGGAAGAAAAAGAACCCAATTAAAAAACAGGCAGAGGAACTAAATAGACAACTCTCCAAGCAGGGCATACAAATGGCTAAGAGACATATGAAGAAATTCTCAACATCACTAATCATCAGAGAGATGTAAATTAAAACAACAATGTGGTATCACCTCACACCTGTCAGAATGGCCGCCATCAACAAATCATCAAAGGACAAGTGTTGGCGAGGGTGTGGAGAAAAGGGGACTCTAGTACACTGTTGGTGGGAATGCAGACTGGTGCAGCCACTATGGAAAACAGGATGGTGTTACCTCAAAAAATTAAAAATTAAACTTTCATTTGACCCAGTTATCCCACTTCTAGGAATATATCCTAAGAAGACTGAAACACCAGTCAGAAAGAACATCTGTACCCTCATGTTCATAGCAGCACTATTTACAATAGCTAAGATCTGGAAACAGCCCAAATGTCCATCAGTTGACAAATGGATAAAAAAGCTGTGGTACATATACACAATGGAGTACTATGTAGCTATAAGAAAGAAAGATTTCTTATTCTTTGAGAAGACATAGAGGGACCTGGAGAGTATTATCCTAAGCAAAACAAGCCAAACAGAGAAAGACAAGAATCATATGATCTCACTTATTTGTGGAATATAATGAACGTAACAGTCTGAGGAATGGAGTAGTCCCAGAGACGTGGAAGTGGGGTACAGACTGACAATCTCCAGAAGAGGGGGTGGTGGGGGAGAGATAAACCACAGAACTTATATGCATGTATATTTGAAGAAAGGTCATGAACAGCCAAGCTGGGGACAGAGTGGGGAGGAAGGAGGAGGGGTGAATCAGTTGGGGAAAAAGCAGAAACATCTGTAACAAAAATAAATTATAAAAAAAAACAAAAAAACATATCATTAAGGTTTAGTATTTGTTTACAGGTTTTTCTTTTGATGGAAAAATTTTTATAATGAAATGCACAAAGCTGAAATATACATTCATTCAATTTTGACATATGCACATACCTGTGTTACCTAAACTCCTATAAAAATGAACTATAAAATTTTCTTTAATTTGAAATGATCTTTATTTTTCTTCATTCTTGAAGACCATTTTTTGTAGATATGAAATTATGGGTTGACAGGATTTTTATTTCATTTAGCAAAAAATGCTGACATTGTCTCCTTTCCTATGACATCTATAGTCTTTAATGAGATATTTTTGCATTAATTTTGACTCCTAAGGCAAGAGATTCTTATTTTTAATATTTTTTCTAGGTTCCCTTCAAGGTGCTGCCTTGCTAAACCTGCTAGAATCCTTTTCTGTCTCTTCTACAGTCTTTACCAAACCATGAAATCTAGGTAGAAAAGTTTTTCATGCAAGTGGGCGAATGGGATTGATTTTGCTTATTTTTTTTTTTTTAACATAAGAGGACTCCTGAGATTTGAAAGAAACCTAGAGGCTTTTCACTCACATAATTGGTTTTATATTAAGTGTTAAAGATGAATAAATCTTAATGCCTCTCTGTCCTCTTTTCCAGGGAATTCCTAGCCTCAAATTACAGTGAAACGTACTATTCCACGAGAGGAGAGGAAATCACCAGGCATCCTCAGATAACGGTATCTTATAGTACCTTCATGTCTCTTTTCTGAAACTCTTATTTCCTTGGGTGATTTTACAATCCAATTCTAGCTTTACAAGCAGCTTCAGAAAGTATTACATCAGAGCTCTGGCAGGTTTGGCTCAGCGGTTGGAGTGTCGGCCTGCAGACCAGAGAGTCCTGGGTTCAGCACCCACTAGGGGCACATACCAAAATAAATAAATAAACAAACAAACAAACAAATAAATAAATACATACATAAATAAATAAATAAAAAGTATTACGTTTGAAATGAATCCTGCACTGACCATTGTCACTGAATGATCCTAGAATAGAAAACCTAACACTTTGAACTCTAAAAGGGACTGATCATGCCTAACAAGCAAATTAATGACTACTAATGTATTTTTATTTTCCAAACTGACATCTATGAACCCGAATATTCTGGAGAAAAGATAAAGGATAAAGCAGGACACCAAAGGAATATAAGGCACCCTAATGAGACTGTAATCAAGCTAAATGGATGAAATCTAAATAAATAAAATTATTAGACCCACCCCCCCCCATCTAATTGACCGTTAACTGAGTCACATCCCCTGGCCCCATCCTTCTGATGCACCAACCCTGAGGGTTCACCTTCATTCTCCAAATAAAGCTTTGTTTATTTATCATTAGTATTATTTCAATGGATACAGGTTCTATTTTTCCAACTTCATTCATCATTCCAGAATATGCCCTCTACCCCTTCTAACCGAGGAGAACATTATTCTATCTTACCAAAAGTATACTTTTAAAACCGATTTTCTCTATTTAAAACAGCTGTCATCTATAAAATCTAAGTCATTATTTGATCTTTGTAAAATAGAATGGGAAAAAAACTGGGGAACATTCTTTCATGCAGGGGGTTGTTATTGGCCATGTATATCTGAGGTCCCTGGAGGACCATGGAAAGTGTCACATGTAGGTTGGAGTTGCCCAGATGGAAATGATAGGGTTATTACCTGATGGAATCACCACAGGCAGAACACCAAGTAAGGAGTGAGGAAGATACCAACTTGGCTAAAGTAGAGAGGTAGGAGAGGAAGATATAAGGAACCTGGCTGGAGAATCAGACCTAATTTCAATGATCATCAAAAACTTTGGCTTGATAGCATAGAAAGCTCAACTGGGGAAAAATGATAATAACATAGGAGGGATAGTTTGGTAGAAATTTTAAGATGGAATAAAGTAGCAATATTACAGAAAGTAATCATGTATTTAAAATAAAAAGATTCTAAAGTAGTTCCAAATTTTCCAAATGAATGGATAGAAATGTAACTTGTGAGAATGAAATACTGATATATTGTGAACATGTAACATAGATGTTTTATATATCAATATGTGGACTTGTATCAATAGCCTCTTCATCTGTTTTAGGATCACTGTTTTTACCAAGGATCCATTATACATGAATATGATTCCTCTGCCAGTATCAGCACTTGTAATGGTCTCAGGTAATGCAAAGTATCTTTCTATTTTTGTTTATTAGTTTTTCTATGGATTTTTAAAGAAACTGACTTCACATCTTTCTTTAAACAACCCTGGTAAATAGAAAAACTAATGAAAAAAACTACTGTATATTTTCAGCATGAGTATCCACCTCAGCCCATTGTTTATGTTCACTTTTGGTAAAAAGATGTTTAATGTGAGCCCTAAGCAAGTAAAAATTTTCAGTATCTAATAAAGGGGTTCAGTCTTTGAAGACTACTGGAGACCTCATGTTATAGATCATGATACTGAAATCAGAGACTTGCTCCTGAACATTCTATTTGCTGGTGGTAGAATTAAATCTAAACCAGATCTCCTGACTTCTAGTTCTATGAATTTCCACCACATTACAACACTTCACAGTGTTTTAAGTCCATAGAAAGTAAAATGTTAGAAATAAAACCTAAAGAAGTTCTCTATAGATCTTTAGCTCAATTACAAAGGAGAAAGATGTGGAGAGGCAAAGGGTAGAAGAACAAGAAACTTCTGTCTCCCTTGGTGAGGACTTGACTTGACTAGCTACCAGTATCAAGTATGAGAACCCCTTTAATAACAAAATTATCACATAATAGTATTTGTACTTTAATATATACCCCACAATTAATACATGATAAACATAAAAATTCACAGCATTTCTGTAAGAAATCTAAGATTTGCCAGGGATCTACAGTCCTGGGTGGGAATAGCTACTCTACCTTAATACTTCAAAGCAGAGATTAGGCTGTCAAACTTCTGAAAAATCCAGATGAGCTAACTCTTACAAAAGTTATTAATTCAATCAAAGACTACATGCTATCTCATATCTTTATCACTTAAAGCACCTGGCTGCATGCTCATGAGGCTTTGCCCTTATAGTACCCTTTCTTAAAAGGCAACATCATAAGAAATAAATAAATAGGACTACATCAAACTAAAAAGTTCTTGCACAGCAAAGGAAACCATCAATAAAATAAAGATACAACCTACTGAATGGGAGAGCATATTTGCCAATACATCTGATAAGAGGTGAATACCCAAAATGTATAAAGAACTTATAAAACTCAACACTAAAAAAACCCCCAAACAATCCAATTAAAAAATTGGCAAAAGACCTGAATGGACACTTCTCCAAAGAGGACACACAGATGGCCAATAAACATATGAAACAATTCAATGTCACTAATCATCAGAGAAATGCAAATTAAAACCACAATGAGGTATCACCTTACATCTGTCAGAATAGCTATCATCAATTAATGAACACATAACAGGGCTGGCGAGGATGTGGAGAAAAGGAAATCCTGTGCACTGTTGGTGGGAATGCAGATTGGTGCAGCCACTAGGGAAAGCAGTATGGAGTTACCTCAAAAAGGTAAAAATGGAACTGATTTATGACCCAGCAATTCCACTTCTCAGAATTGATCTGAAGAAACCGGAAACACTAATTTGAAAGAATAAATGCATCCCTATGTTCAGTGAAACATTATTTACAAAAGCCAAGATTTAGAAACAGCCCAAATGTCCATCAGTAGATGAGTGGATAAAACAGCTGTGGTACATTTACACAATTGAATATTACTCAGCCATAGAAAGGAAGAAAATTTCACCCTTTGCAATAGCACGGATCGATCTGGAGAACATTATGCTAAGTGAAATAAGCCAGTCGGAGAAAGACAAGTACAATATAATTTCACTTATATGTGGAATCTAATGAACAAACTGAGTTAATTAGCAAAATAGAAACAGACTCAAAGATAGAGAGCAGGTAGACAGCTCTGGTGAGGAGGGCATGTGGGGGGAGGTGAAAAGATTGAGCAAAAAATAAAAATAAAGAGAAAGAACTCATGGACACTGGTAACAGTGTGGTGACTATGGCAGGGATAGAGTGAGTGAAGGTGGAATAGAGTATATGGGGGATAAATGGTAATTGAAATAAAATAATAATAAAATACAATAAAGGGGTGAAAGTATATATGTTAAAATGGAAAATAAAGCCAAATTAGGAAGGAATTATAAAATATATAATAAAAAATGAAAAACAACATCAATGAAAATAAAATAGAGTAGTTTTGTATTGTAATGCAATAGTAAAAAGTCTTAACTATACATTGTTTTCTTAATTTCCACAGGGGATTCTTCAGGGTATATAATGAAAGGTACCTCATTGAACCAGTGAAATACTCAGATGAGGGAGAACATTTGGTATTCAAATATAATCCAAAAATGCATTATGCTGCCAATTATTCTTGTATGGAGCTCAATTTTACCAGGACAACTGTTCCAAACAATAATACACAGTCCATAAAAGACTCCAAAAAGGAAGTGAGTGCTTTATTTTCAAAGTGCCTTTTCCTCTATTTTTTTATGATTTCAAGAGAGAAAGTATAAGCTCAATGAATGAAGTATACATACTACCTAAATCTAACTTTTCATTGTTTGAAATCTGAAATGTCAAACATTTGTATTTTTTATCTATGTACAAAGAGATCATTTTATACAGTAAACCTCAGTTTGGCCAACTGATTTCAAGGAAGGGGGATATCTACAATGTATGTATGGGTTTACAGCTTTAGAGTTACAAGTGGCTGGAAAGAATAAAATTTACATGGTCTTGAAACCTGTCCTAGATATTGTCTGCCCCTGTCTTCTCTGCCATTTTGGGGGTATAATAAGCCAGATTCTCTCCCTTTCATCAGGTCAAATGTTCTATCTGTTAAGGAGAATTAAGAGTAATAATAAGCTTAATTTCTGGTGGGATGATTGTACAAAGAGAGTGCTCTGCATTTTGGGCTTTTCTCTATAACCAATTCATATTTCCTTAAATCCCCACTGGATGTTGGCCTTTCAGCTCCAAGAATGTTCATTTTCTTTATATATTCATGGTCCAGTTGAATCAGTCAATCAATAAACTTAGTCCATAAAAGAATGACTTAGCCAATTTTTGAACAATATGTCCCTAATTTATACTCAGAGAATATGCATGTACCTCAATGCATGCCCCCAAAAGCTGAAAACTTAGAATTTCTTAAATTAGTGTTTTATAAAAGATCTATAATTGGCAAATTTTGTACATGTTTGCTTGGAATTAAATACTGCAACACAGGAGATTTGGAGAGAGGAGTGGGAGTAAATGAAAAAGTTATTTCTATTAGCCTGACTACAGGCTGATAGCTCTGTATTAGTTCTGAGCTTTACAGATAGGTGCTTTTTTATATGAGAGCTTACTTAGTAAGCATTTACTTTGTAAATTAAAAAAAAAACCTAAATGTTAAAAACTAGGTTTATCATTTTTATTTATAACTAATTTTATTTGAAAGACTAAACAAAGAAAGAAAGGATAATCAAATATAGAGTGCTGTTTCAAGTTTATTACAATCTGATGTATAGAGTCACATGTTTTAATAATATAATGAGTTTTATTTCGATAACTTTCTAGAATTATTGAAGATACTTCTATACCTCACCTTCTTGTAGCAATACAAATTAATATTTGTTACATTAGAAATGTTAGCTTAAAATTTTAAAATAAAAAATATACCTCATTAAATTTTGTATAAATTTCCAGATCACCACTACTGAAAAGTATGTTGAACTATTTGTTGTTGCTGATAATAGTGTGGTAAGTTTTCAGATGAACATCTGCTCTTCATTTATCCTTATAAAACTATGTTTGTGATTCTAACAAACAAACAAAATTTTAATCATATTTTTATTTTGGACTCAACCAGTTTTTAGCTTTCTAAAACAGATTTATATAAGAGATGATTGGGTACTTTGGCAATACTGCAAACTGAGCCAAAATGGAACTACCTTGCCATTATAAGCATGAAAATGCTGAACAGCACATAAAAAATTAAAATTATATTTATACTCTGTAGTTGAGCTCAAAAACCAACAACAAAAAAAGCCCAGGGAATACCCAAGTGCTAAAAATGAGGAAGAAAATCACTATTAGTGTAGTAAATAAGATCCAAAGGCTCTGTGACCTACAGTATATAGAATATAGTGCATGATGTGCAGAGCCATAAAGGGCTGATCCATCCCTAAAAAGGGAACTAAAAAAGTTCTGTGCACTAAAAATGCAAAGAGAAAGAAAGTATTTTGCCTGCCTTCAGCAAAGGGCAGGGAAAATATGATGCATGAGAAAAGCAAAAGTCCTAAGCCTGTGTCATGCATGGTGTGGGGCATGATATTATATTTTTCTTCAAATGCAATAATGACACACAAAGGTCACAACATAAAAACTGATTAGAAACTTGTTCAACTGCTAGAGCCCAAATTAGACATGCTTTTAAAGACATTTTTATAATTTTAGATTAACCACATGAGGAAGAATCAACTAATATAATAAAAAGAAAAATAAGCTAAGAACTGTAAATCATCTGATGATATTTCAGATTATACACTTAACATCTTAGTCTAAAAAGACATATAAAATAACAGAATTACAGGAAAAGTAAGGGATTTTGTCTCCTATCTAGCAAAAATTTTTATTTATTTATTCATTTTTTTTAATCCTCATGTGAAGATATTTTTTCCATTAATTTTTAGAGAGAGTGGAAGGAAGGGAGGAGGGTGAGAGAGAGAAACATCAATGTGAGAGAGACACATCAATTGGTTGCTTCCCACATGTGCCCTAACTGGGGCCAGGGATCAATCCTACACCTACAGGTGTGTGCCCTTGACCAAGAATCAAACCCAAGACCCTTCCTTACGAGAGTTGATTCTTTAACCACAGAGCCACATCTGCTAGAAACAGAAAATTTTAGGTTGGCAGGAAAAAATTCAACAAAAAGTAGAAAATATTTGAAGCACATAAGTATAGATTTAATTTAATCATTTTATAAAATATTTTGTGCCTCCAAAATAGACAACATATATAACATATATTCTTTCTAAATGCAAATAAATCATTTTCAAGTATTAAAGAAAGTAAAAAATAAGAAAGATTATAAAGATTACCTTATATTTAATCAGAACCAAAATGGAGGCTATAACAAAAATAATTAAATAAATGTAATAAAAGATCATTGGTTTGAAAACTAAAAGCAAAATATATTTTCAAATATTAGTTAACTAAAAAAATTACATCTGAAATTATGACATTTATAACAACCACAGGAAAAGATTATTATAGATAAAATGTATTAGATGCCAGCGGTATAGCAGTATTTGGGAAACGCATTTCTATTTAAAACAAAAATAAAGATATTTAATGAACTATAAGCCTAACTGGAAAAGTTAGAAAATAAAACACAGAATAAATTTAAAAAATAGGAAGAAAATAATTTTGACAATAAGTAAAATTAATCCAAGACAGACATAAAGAAACCATTGATAGGTCAACAAAACCAAATAATAATTCCTTCAAAAGATGAATGAAATAGAGAAACTTCTGACAATATTTATTAAGAAAAAATAAAAAGACAAGTAAAATTAGAAATAAAAAGAAAACATAACTATGAACATAGGAGAGATTACACACATCATTTGAAAAAATATAAAACTTTTAGCCAATAAAGTTATGAGCAGAAGCATGTAGTATAATGTTACCTAACTGACTTGAGAAGAAATAGGAAACCCCACAAAGATTATAACAAATTTAAAAAATTAAATAAGCAATCCACAATCTACCAACTAATAAAGACACAGCTCAAATGGGTTTAAACACAAATTTTGCCAAAGTGTGTTATAACAGATAATCATATCCTTTACAAACTTTTTTGAAGAATAGGGAAAGAGGACAAATTTTTCACACATTTTATAATGTTATATAACCTTCACATTAGTTACTTCAAACTTAGCGTGGCTCATTTTTGCAGCTGCAGTAATATGTTGAATTCACTGGCCTGGCTGGCTGAGGAAAATGGCCTCAGTCACTGTTTGTTGTGCAGTGTTGGGTTTCATTTGTCCATGTGTCTCCAGTCAGCTTGCCTGTGCTTCTCACATCGTAGATGTGCATCAAAACATCAAGAGAGAGACCAGGCTTCAATGTGCAAGACCTTTTCAAGCTTCTGCTTGTATTACATTTACTAATGTCTCATTCACCAAAGTCACATGGCCAAGCCTAGGATCAATGCAGTTAGAGGAAACTACCCAAGGATGTGGATATCTAGAAGAGTGATTGCCTAGAGGGTCATGATTGTAACACTCTAGGATGACATTGATAACAAATCCAGACAATTAAGTAAAATTATAAGCCAATTTCACTTACAAACACAACTCCAGATATTTTATTTGTGAACACAATCCAGAAAATATTTGTGAACCCAATCCAGCACATATTAAAAAGTCCGTGGGGGGAGGGAGAATGGAGGAGTGGGTCAATGAGGAAAAAAGAGAACATCTGAAACAAAAATAAATTAATGAATTAAAATTTATTTAAATAAATAAAATAAAATAAAAAGTCTGCATGACAATGAATGTTAGTAGTAATGCAATTTTTTAAATCCATGTAATCATCTCAAATATCATATTTCTTTCAAAATTCATAATAAAATTCTTAGCAAACAAGAAATGGAAGAAAATAAAGAATCTTTAACCAGATCTTATCCTTAATAGGATTAAACTTAATAATGAAATGTTGGAGATTTTCCTACAAAATCGGCAATAAAATACTTCTGTTCACTGTCAATAGATTTTTTCCCAACATATCTATTGAAATTCCCAGCCAATGTTAAAAGAGAAAATTAATAAGATCTATATTAGTTAAAGAGAAAGTTACAGTATTGCTGCATATTAAAAAAATAGAAGAAATTAAAATTATCCTATGACTTTAAAAAATGAAATAGTAAGTTCTAGTTACTAATCAATATATAGGTTTATTAGCATGTTGAAAAGAACAAGTTAACTAACTGTTTATAAGCATGCTAAGACAAGCTTTGTTCCTAATAATAATTTATTAATAAAGACAAAGAGTTAGAGTATTTTGATAAAACAGAATAGGAAAACAAAGGCAGCTTTGGAAAGCAGGTTGAGGGTTTTACCCATCTTGAAAGCAATGTGATGAGTTTCAAGCAGTTAAGTAAACTGAAGATATGAGTGTGTACACCCAGAGTTAGCAAATTGAAAGAGAAAGCAGAGCACGAATGTCTGATCCTGGAGAACACTAAACATTTCATAAAGGTTTGGAAATAAAGGTTCAAAGACTCCATACTCATCCCTCTTCCTTACTCCCATGAGCAGAAATCAATGACTGATAAAGTATCCTATTTCTGTAGTCCCTAAGATAGCCTCAGAGTCTCTCTCAACTGTTTGTTTTAGGCCAGCCCTACCCATTCATCACTGGGAACCTTAGAGTTAAAATATATTTGTTAGCCCTGGCCTGTTTGGCTCAGTGGTTGGAGCATTGGCCTGCAGACCAGGGAGTCCTGGGTTCAGTTCCCGCTAGGGGCACACACCAAAAAATAAATAAATAAATTAATTAATTAATTAATTAATTAAAATATATTTGTTATCTAGAATTAAAGGGGATGCTGGAAAAGAGAAACCTGTGCGCAGTAAAACACTAGGAGTGTATAGAATAATGAAACCCAAGATAATAAGAAATCTCTTGAAAGAGAAAATTGTCAATATTAAATGTGAACAAGATGACCAGGAAGATGAGGAAAAGGTGTTCAGTGGAATTGATAATTGAGAGGACATTTAGCAAGAATAGTTTCAATGAAATACTGACAGTCAAGCCAATGAGGAGTGAGTTGAGGAGTGTGGGTAGGAGATGATAACTGAAGAGATTCTAATGTCATATCTTTGACATATGTAGATACTTAAGATAACAGGACAGCAATAACATGGTAACTAGAGGATACTTGCAGGATTAAGAAAAGGCATATTTCTTTTTATTTTTATTAGGTAAGAAGTTAACCATTTGCATTTTTCCTTACAGGGTATCTTATGTTATTAAATATATTTTATCAGGTCTAAATTGATAATGCTGAGAACAAGGTCCTGATGGCACAAATAGAGAATCCATCTGTAGGAAGAGAACAAAATTCAGAATAGGCCAGTGATGGAGACATACTTGACTTGGGGTGGTGAACACACAATACAGTGTACGGATGATGTGATGTAGAATTGTACACCTGAAACGTGTATAATTTTGTTAACCAGTGTCACCCTGATAAATTCAATGCAAAGGAAAAAATGAAGTAAATTGCTTTAAAGGTAGGGTGGGGGAGAACAGGCCAGAGCAGGAAGGTTGGCGTTTCCTTCCTAGTCTTTTCCTGGAAAGAAGGGCAAGCAACAATTCTGCGCCCCTTTACTCACATCTCTGGCTCCAGGGTGACCCTTGATTATGTTACTTAGTTTGTGACCACTATGGACAGAGAAGGGCTGATAAAGTTACTCTTTTCTTGCGACATAATGCTTGCTGTGGAGCTTGAATGTTTTGTTTCATCAGCCTGATAAGTATAAACTCTAAAAAACACTTATTAGTTGATTTTATAAATCATGTAATATAATAAAATGTGAAAGCAACAAAGTTGTAAAAAACACTTAAAGCTATTGCTAAGTTGAAGTATGTCTTTTGAAAGTGCTGTATCTATTTTATTTTATTTTATTTTTTCTCCCTTTTTTTTTTTTTTTTTTTTTTGGTATGTGCCCCTAGAGGGAACCAAACCTGTGACTCTGGTCCACAGTCCAACGCTCCAACCGCTGAGCCAAACCGGTCAGGGCTCTATTTTATATATAATATATATTTTTTGCATAAGTTGCCCAGATTTTTAACTGACTGGAAGGAATGTCAATGATATTTTTTCTTTGAGATATCTGATAATGAGTAAAGTATTTCATTGAGTTTGTATTCAACTCCTATTATTAACAGATGTTGATTTGATGTTTGTGTTTGCAGTATCACAGGAATAATTATCCTCGCAATAAAATGAGGAACCGAATTTGGGGAATGGTCAACTTTGTCAACATGGTAAGATTTTATACAGTTTAAATCAAGCTAAAAATATAAATGGAAAGAAACTTTTAGGAAACATAGTTCTGAACTTTTTTGTGGTTCTGAGACAACCCAAAAGACAAAAATTAACCCAGTAGACTAATTAGCAAAAATTCATTGAAAAACTCACAGCAACAAATGGACCACAGGTTTTCTAAACAAATGGCATTTAATAATTAAACATTTAAATAAGTTTCAAATATTGGTCACTTATCACAAAAATTTATAAAGCAATGTACAAAGATTTCAATACCCATCATGCTAAATCAACTTCATAAATCAAGGTTGCTCCACAACCTTGCACAGTAAAAAAGTTTTCAAATTATAATTTATTTTCCATGTTTTGACACAAAAATTAGGGAAAATATTTTAATAAAATGCAGAATTAACTATAATATTTTTCAAAAAGCAATACTGTGAGTTGTACATATTTTTCTAATGCTAACTTCTTCTCAGGACCGCAGGCCGACGCTCTAACCGCTGAGCCAAACCAGCCAGGGCAATGCTAACTTCTTTTAAGTCATTGAGCTCCATTCCTAAGATAAAGAGGGCCCAAAGGAAGATGCTATAATAAATAACCCCATCTAGGTCAGTGGTGGTTCATTCACCAGTTGAAGAACATTTGATCAGTTTCTAGATTTTGCAATAATAATTAAGATTTCTTAAAACATTTTATATAGATGTATGTACAAACATAAATTTTACTTCCTTTTTGTAAATGACTAAGAAGTAAGAATGCAAGGCCAAACAGTAAGTATAGGCTTTTTAGCCAGTATAGGCTCTTGAGCCAGTTCTCACAAGTTTTGATGTTTTATTTTTAATTTTTATTTAATTCAAAATAACTCTAATATCCTTTAGGATCTCTTTGATTCAGTGGTTATATATGTGTCACTTAATTTCCAAATACTTGGAAAAATTTTTTAAATCTTTATATTAGAATTCTGTCTACTACATTCATATTTTCTAGTAGAGTTTTTACATATTAATAATTATTATTTTACATTTCCTGTTAAATTATTTCAACATTTGGATTATCTCTAAATCAAGTTTTGTTGACTCATCTCTCAAATGGTTGTTTTTCCTTGGTGTGTGTGTGTGTGGGGGGGTGTTTTCTTTAATATTTTATTGGACACTAGGCATTATGTATAGGACAGTAGGGACAAAGGAACTAGTACTTCTGCCTGGAAATGTACACTCCTTTTGCCAGGCCACTAACAAGTGGGACTGAGTCAATCTTGTAGCAATTACACTGGATTTTGCTATTGCTAGGTTACCTGTAGTGTACCACATGCTTGGGATTCCTGTACTGTTATCTTGTGCTTAGAGTGGGTCCTGGATTGTTGAAGAGGTAATTCCTGCTTCAGCCTCAACCTCAACCTCAGCCCTTTAGCAAGGGCCAGTGATCAAAGAAGGTTTTCTTTCACATACTTATCTCTTCTTAAGTAGTAATTTGTTCTTGTTTTTTACTTAGTAATCACTGGCCTAGTTGTGAGACCCAATGTGTTCTATCCTGATCTATCCTTGATCTTAGGAAAATCCTGCCCATTGGTCGTTGGGTAGATTTTTCTCAATGTTTATGTCCTTCCTCCTTTGATGGGAGACTTTGAATGGTCTAGCCTCAAGATAGTTTTCTCCCTCTCTCTAGGGTTAGGTGTTATTATTTTCCCTTCTTTTAGCCACAGTAGGTTTCACTTGAATTCAGAGGGTGTGAAAGAAAAAGGTTGCTGACTTTTACACAATGACTTAAGGCTTTTGTTCTTCAGTAGAGGAGATGTTCCCAAGGCAGCAGTTGCTCCCATCCTTTGGGCCTATACCTGCAAGGGAGGATATCGTGAGTCTCCACTCTGCTCCATTGTGTTTATGGAGAAGAATCTGTGGATGGGCATAATTTCTTGTGTCTGTGTCTCCCAGAGTGTCCTATACTCTCATTCTATCCCACACTTGCCTTTCAGCAATTCCTTAAAAATTTTTGGTGGATTCTCCTTGTCTGTCTGTTTGTAACAAAGCATCTCTTTTTCTCATTTTCTGCCAATGAGAGATGCTCTACTACCATTTCTCTTAGAAGGAGTCTATATGTCCTTAGATTTCAGGCTAGATGTTTGCCTGGTTATCTCAGCTCTTATGGTTTCAATAAAAAAATAAAATTTTCTAGATTCACAAGTTTTTTATTTTGGTCAGGGTAGAAGTAATCTTCTTTCCAACTGTGTACATCTTAGCCAGAAGCAAAATTCCTCCTAAATTTAAATTCATGTCTATGGCAATTAAAAATTCTCCCTATGACTTTTGCTAAAATATAGGAGCAATGAAGAATGGAATGAGTATATCTCATGGTCATTTCTGTTTTCTTCTATTTTTTTTATATCCTGTAATTGTCTTTATCATTATACCTAACATTGTTCCAAATGAAAGACTCAATCTCTTTCCTTGGTTTTTCATCTCCAAAGTAAACATAAGTACAAAATTGTTGCACAGTGCTGAACTTTTTATTAAAGATTTTTCAGTTTAGATTGGGAGGTCAGACCACAAACATTTAAAGTAGCATGGTCTACAAGTCCTTGACCCTTTCCATCATATCACTTTCGTTGGCCTTTTATACCTCATATTACCCATAGGGGAAAGGTCAGACAGTCTGCAAGGACTCACAGAAAGCAAACTCTGTTCTGGTGCAGATCTAGCTGAATGGATCCAACTAGAGGGCCTGGCAAAGGTCACCTCATTGAACAGTCTGTATTCCAATAAACACACCTTTATTTTATAGGATATTTTCTCACTAGAACAGAACATATTCATATAATGGCAAATACTGTTTCCATTTGCACTTGCAAACATTTCATAAATCTAAAGCCTACCCATAAATGTAGAGAAGCCAAAGAGCCCAGGTTTAAAAAAATTTTTGCTATGTGGAACCTGATTCATAAGATTTATTCTATGATAAAATTGAGACCAAAGTGAATGGGCATCACAAGTTCCAGTACAGATTTGAAATAATGATTTAACTAACAGTCTAACTTAACTTCATTAAAGTTGGAAAAAAATCCAGTTCTCATGGTTATGAAATGACCTTGTTGGGTTATCATGTTGACACATGGAATTCAATATATTCATATTATGTTGGTTAAGAAAAGTGGAAAATTAACAAAGGGTTATTGTTATAACAATGATGTATTAAACTATCTTTGTTTTTATTTTTGTATCTTTTTATTTATTTTTTTATCACCGTTTATCACCTCTATGCCTTCTTTCACTTTCTCCATCTCCTCCCCCCACTCAGTCACTACAGTATTGTCCATGTCCATGAGTTCTCTCTTTTTTTTTCCCTTTATTGCTGAATCCCTCCCCCACCCACAACACTCCTCCCCAACAGAGCTGTCCGCCTGCTCTCTACCCATGAGTTTGTCTCTATTTTACTTGGTAGTTCAGTTTGTTCAGTAATTTACACGTATTATATTAAACTTTTAAATAAACAGTTACATTTTCTATTAATATTATGTGAGTAACCTCCCCATTATTGTTAACTCAGCGCTCCTAGTTTATCATTTATTCTTTCTTTCAAACTGGCTGTTATGGAATATAAAATTCATATAACACATAGTGACTTTTCTCAAAATTCTCATAATACAGGGGTTGGCAAAGGCAGGTTTATACTTGTAAGTATGTGGAACACAGTTTTTTCTTGTATTATTATTTATTAATTATTATATTATTTTCCATACAAACCACTGTAAACCTACTTTTGTTCACCCCAGTATCTGCTTAAACTCTGTCTTCTTTTGTCCTGGCATCAACTATTTACCAAGTAGGTAGTTACAAAAGTAGATGGGAATAGAGGTGAGGAGGCTTATGAGCTGCAGTAGTTTCTTCCTGTTTTGAGCAATCCACAGTAAGATCTCTTAGACAACAAAGTAGTTCCAAAAATCAAACATAGGGAACAAACAGGGCAGCTAACTATTGGTATTTGAAAACCAATGCCAACTTTCTAATCTTCCATAGAACCAACTCTCTGAAAGTAGAGACATGATGAAAACACATGCATTCCATTGTGTGCTGCTATTAGTAAATTCCCATTTCAGGTCAGCTGTAATCTCAGAACTTTACTAAATTACTCATTCTAAAATATTATGAGCCCACTGCCTATAAGATTTATGATAGGTCACGAAGAATCAATGACTTTAGCTTAGTTTCTTTGTTGGCCATGGCAATTTATCTAGTATTCTGAGCGATTCACCCACATTAGATTCTAGTAACTGTTTTGGTTGAAGCCTGCATTTTTTGCTTATGTACCTCATGCATTAAAATTACTTTTTCTTTTAATGTAAAATGATATACTAATGGCGAGGATCCTTCTGCAATTTGACTTTGTGAAAAATTATTTCTGTTTTGAACAGATTTATAAAACCTTGGACATTCATGTTACATTGGTTGGCCTTGAAATGTGGACAGATGGAGATAAAATAAAAGTAGATTCCAATATAGAAACTACTTTATCGCATTTTGCAGCTTGGCAACAAACAATCCTTAAAAAAAAGAAGAATTTCGATCATGTTTTGTTACTCAGGTATGTAACTGCTCTATTTTCCTGCATACTTTAGGATTATTTTAAAAGAAAACAAAATAAGTGAACAACCACCCAAATTTTTTTAAAACTTATCTTTATTGTTGAATGTATTACAGATGTTCATCCGTTTTCCCCTTTTATGTATATTGATAGCATTGTACAACCGTCATCAAAATCTAATTTTGGAGCCCTGGCCAGGGTGACTCAGTGGGTTGGGCCTTGTCCCTCGCACTGAAAGGTTGCTGGTTTGATTCTTGGTCAGGGCACGCGCTCGGGTTGCAGGCTCCATCCCCAGTAGGGGTTTGTGCAGGAGGCAGCCAATCGATGTTTCCATCTTGCATTGATGTTTCTCTTTCTCCCCCTCTCCCTTCCTCTCTCTAAAGAATATATATATAATATTATATATATAATGAAAATCTAATTTTAGAACATTTTTGTCAAATTCCAAATAAGCTTTGTACCCATTAGCGGTTATTCCTCACCACCTTCCCCATTCTGCATGCTTACCTCTCTGCCAGCCTCAGGCAACCACTAATCTACTTTCTATTTTTTATAGATTTGCCTATTACGGACATTTCATATAAATGGGACCATGCAATCTGTGGTCTTCTGTGACTGGCTTTTTTCACTTAGCAGGATGTTTGGTGTTGATCTACGTTCTGGTATTAATTGTATGGGTTTGAGTAACCTCTAACTCGCAGTTCCTGCTTCCTGCTCCGCACGTTGCAAGAGATCTCCGAGGTCTTCAGAGCCCTAGGGGTCCCACGGGAAGCTGGGCACGAAGCAGAGGGGCCTAGAGCAAGGGTGGCTGCAGTGCTTATTTTAGGATTTCAGGTAAAGCTAAAACAGGCTGGGAGAGAGCAGCGCTTGTACTGCTCAGCTCCTCTTCAACAGTTGGTGCCCGTCTGCGTGCAGAAACCAATTACCTGTGAGGAGTAATTGGAATCATTAATAGCCACAAACAAATGTGTCTATTCTGCAAGTAATTTGCAGTAGCAGTAATTGATAGTAATTTTGAGTAATTATACACTAAGTAATTCATTTAGGAAGCCATGCAGCCATTTTATGTGATTCCTCGGTGTTCCCAGAGCAAATCTTAATTACGTAACCCAAGCACCAGGAATATTTCTGTCATTTCTAAAAATATATATAGAGAGAGTGTGCTGTTCTCGGTAAACCCCAGGAAAGAGGAAGCCAAAGAGAGTCGTTTTCCTGGGCAGCAGTAAGTCAAGTCTGGCGCTATCTCTTGGGCCAGGGATGAGCTTGCTGAGTGAAGCCCCGCAGACATGATGTCTGTCTGTGCTGCACAGAAAGTCCAAGTGAAATCTCGGTTACAACTTACTCTGTCTCCTCCTGTTTAAAATGTTTTGCCTCAGCCTTTTCCAGGTTTGTTCAGGCTGTTAGAAACCCATCGGGAGCTGGTTTCAGAGAGCAATGGCCCCGACGCCCTTTGGTCTGTAAGACACCGGCAGGAGTTCTGAGCTTGGTCTCGACTGTCAGCTGCAGCATGGCTCCACCCTGCTTCCTTGAGATTTACCCTCTGTGGAGGGCAGTGCTGGTTACTTTCTCAGCGTTCAGTCCTCTTTCCTCCTTTCTCACAACACTCGTTTTATCCAGGTGTCCACCCCTCTCCACGCAGCCTCTGTGCCTGGGGAGAGCTGGGCCCTGGGGTGTCACTGTTAGCCTAAGCTAGTTGCAGTAATGCCCCTGATTGGGCTTGCTAGACTGGTTCGGAAGGCCAGGTTGCCATTGGTCCAGGAGTAATCATGTGACTCTCATTTTCCCAATCAGAGTAGAGAAACGGGCTTCCATTCCAGGGGATCAGGAGAGAAGGTTTCTCCTTCGTCTTGTTGAATGTGAACAGCTGCTGGCAGCCATCCTGGCACTGGCTGGGAAACCAGCCTGAGAACAAAGTCTACACAGAGATGGGCAGAGCCAAGAGAAACTGTAGAGAAGCCGAACCTGAGTCCTACTGCTCCTGGAGTCCTGTTTCTGGGCTTCTAGTTACCTGAGCTCACACAGTTTCTTTGGTGCAGTTCAGTCTGAGCTTGGTTCTCTGTCAGTTGAAGCCCAAGCATCCTCACCTGTTTGCCACCAGGCTCCCTTTCATGCTCTTTTTTTTTTTTTTTTAAACTTATCTTTATTGTTGAATGTATTACAGATGTTCCTCATTTTTTCCCCCATTGACCCCCTCCTCCCCTCTCCCGCCCCCCTCCTGCCTTTCCCCACACTGTTGTCTGTGTCCATCGGTTATGCATACATGCATACAAGTTCCTTGGTTTATCTCTTCCCACCCCCCAAACCCCTTCCCTCTGAGGTTTGTCAGTCTAGCAACCCATTTGTACTTCTTAATCCCTTCACCTTTTTCACCCATTCCCCCAACCCCCCTCCCATCTGGCAACCAACAAAATGTTCTCTGTATCTATGAGAACGTTTCTGTTCTGTTTGTTCATTTTGTTTGTAGATTCAATTGTTGATAGCTATGTATTCATGGCCATCTTTTTCTTCAAGAAGACCCTTCAAAATTTCATATAATAATGGTTTGGTGGTGATGAACTCCTTTAGCTTTTCCTTGTCTGGGAAACTCTTTATATGGCCATCGATTCTAAATGACAGCTTTGCAGGATAGAGTAATCTTGGTTATAGGTTCTTGCTTTTCATCAATCTGAATATTTCTTGCCACTCCCTTCTGGCCTGCAAAGTTTCTTTTGAGAAATCAGTTGACATTCTTATGGGAGCTCCTTATAGGTAACTAACTGCTTTTCTCTTCCTGCTTTTAAGATTTTTTTTTTTTGTCTTGAACCTTTTGCATTTTGAATATGATGTGTCTTGGTGTGGGTCTCTTGGGGTTCATCTTATTTGGAACTCTCTGTGCTTCCTGGACTTGTACGTCTGTTTCCTTCACCAAGTTAGAGAAGTTTGCTGTCATTGTTTCAAATCAGTTTTCAATTTCTTGTTCTCTCTCTTCTCCTTTTGGCATCCCCATGATGTGAATGTTGGTATACTTGAAGTTGTCCCAAAAGCTCCTTTCATTATCCTCATTTTTTTTTATTGTTTTTTCTTTTTGCTGTTCTGATTGGGTGTTTTTTGCTTTTTTATATTCTAAATCTATGGTTTACTCCTTGTCTTTACCTACTTTACTACTGAATCTCTGTAAATTATTCTTTATTTCAGTTAGTGCCTTTTTCATTTCTGACTGGTATTTTTTATGCTCTTGAGGCCCTCACTAAGTTAATTGCAGTTCTAACTAAATTCACTGAGCATCCTTATAAGCAGTGTTTTAAACTCTGCTTCTGTTAGATTGCTTATCTCCATTTCGTTTAGTTGTTTTCCTGAAGGTTTGTTCTGTTCTTTCTTTTGGGACATGTTTCTTTGTCTCCTCATTTTGGCTGCCTCCCTGTGTTTGTTTCTATGTATTAGGTAGAGTTGCTATGTCTCCTGGGCTTCCTAGGGTGGCCTATGCAGGTGTCCTGTAGGGTCCACTAGGTCTCCTACCTGGGTCCTCGAGATGCACCCCTTGTGTGGACTTTACACCCTTCTGTTATAATTGAGTCTAGATTGCTGTTGGCACATTTGCTCAGGCTTATCCATTGCAAGAACTGGCTGTGCTCACTATCCACTGACCTCTGACTACCTTGGATGATCACCTGTGCAGGGGCAAAACTTACTTCAGCGAGGCTCTAGTGCCCACTGAGTTCATTCTTTGAGTGTGTCACTTGTGGAGGTGGTTGGGTGGTGGTGTTTAACAGTGTTCTGAAGTTGTCCACTGGGTGTGCTGGCTCTGGGGCAAGGTCAGCCACTGCTTGTGTTCTACCCGGAGCCACAAAGCATAAGCTACAAAGTGATCTGCATATGACTTGCTTCTTGTGCTGGGCTTGGAGGTGCTCAGGCAAAGCCAAGTTGTGAACCAAGGCTGGCTGCTTCTAGTACCAGGCCTGGGAACACTTAACAAGAGGTATGGGGCTCAATGAGACCAGATGCTGCTTGTTTGAGAGAATTTAGGAAAATATAAAGCAGGATCCAAGACAGGCCATTCCTATAGTAAAGCAACTAGGAACAGCTTGGGTGGACCTGAAAGTTGGGTGGGGCGGGGCCTCAGGGAATCACCAGGGGGCAGCAAAAAGTGTGAGCCAGGTTGCTGGAGTCCCAGATATGGCTGCTGTCTGCTAGCCTTGTGGGGGAAGGGCTCACCACAGAAACAAAGGCATCCGACAGCACATCTTTCCAGGAGAAAGCTGCCTCTCCAGCCCTCGCTCCAATGCCAAACAATTCAGTTCTTCCCTGTATGTCTTTGGTGCTTTTCAAGCTTCCTCCCCCGCTTTGGAGCTCAGACAGAGTAAGTCCAAGTAAGTCTGTGCACGGGCCCTTTAAGAGGTGCTGCCTGGGGCTCTAGAAGCCTCAACCTCCCTCAGCCTCAGTTACCACTGATTTTTACAGCCCAAAGTGATGGGGATTTCTCTTCCTGACACTGGAACCCTGAGCTGGGTGCCTGGTGTGGGTCGGGTACCCCTCATTCCTCAGGGAGGACCTTCCCAGCCGAGGTGTTCCTCCTGATTTTTATCCGCCACATGTGGGTGTGGGACCAGCCCGTCTGCGCCTCCATCCCTCCTACCAGTTCCAATGTGGCTGCTTCTTTAATTTCATAGTTGTAGGACTTCCATTCAGCTCTATGTCAGGTTGTTTTGAATGATGGTTGTTCTGTAGTTTAGATGTAATTTGATGTGGTTGTGGGAAAAGGCAATACCGCATTTACCTGTGCCACCATCTTGAACAGAAGAGTTCTCAACCAAAATATTTTTTAAGGCAATTGACATTTTTGGATAGTGCACAGGGACAAAATGTTATGTCTAGCTATATAGAAGATTTCCATATAAACTTTTTCATAAACTTTCTTTCTTATAGTGATGAACACTAGAAAGGAAAAACCTAGTACATTCATTTTCCTGGGCAGGGTTGAAAATGTGGTTATGTACATACAGCACTTTGAGAATCCATTTACCTATCCACTTTTAACACTAACTCCCTTCAGCCTTCCACACCATACTATTCTAATACTCCCCTAAAATCAACTTTTCTGGGAAAACACCTTATTCTCTGAACAATTACCCTCAGCAATGTGTGCCCATCTAGTGACTAAGTGGTTCAAGGGCATCTTCTCTACTATTCAGAATGACAGAAAACTAATGTGATAAATTAAAACTCCCACAGCTCTAATATTCCTAAGAAAAAGTCTGAATTTTTCTGGAATACTTAGATCATTCATTCTTAAAAATAGGAGCCATTTTTAAATCATTTTTGTTAGTCAAAATAACTAAATGCATTCATTACTCAGCCTGTAGGGAAATGATACGTAATTGTGGAGTTGAACTGACTTTAACCTTGTGTTTTAGGTAGTCCTGTTATTGTAAGGAATGTTAAATTATGGAAGAACAACTTTGGAGCAATGGAGTCTTTTAGCATCTCTCCCCATGCCCTTAATGCTGCTACAAAAAATGCATACCCAATTTACCTACTTCATCTACCTATAATACCAGTGTTTGTCCTAAGGTCTGCAAACACAACCTGCATATGTGTTTTTTACCATTATCTGAATGTTAACTTTCAGTATGACCTCAGAACTGTGAAGCTTCCAAAGCCTCTAGTCAGAGGTCAGCTCCAGGCCTTTGCCAGAATAATGAGAGTGAGCCAGACCTGCAAAGTAATATCATTTCTGATGTTCATATCCGGGATGGCCCCATATTTCCAGGAGAAACATGTATCTGGCTTGGGCTTGAATATTCGTGAACTAGTGCAACCAAAAATTATGAGGGGTAAATTATCACTATCACCTCCATAATGGGAAAGTTTAGCCCCTTTGCCTATTCCTTGGACATGGGTTTAAAAATACTTAATAATTTATCTAAAAATATTTAAATGGGTACAAGTGGAAAACCTTTTACTTCTATGAATGTATCTTACTCTGAGAAGTAACTTCCCTCACCAATAGTATGTCTACAAATAGAGAAATGCTGGGGTAGGCTACTATATGTCTAAGTGGGGATTATGTTTGAGATTTCTTAGGTGTTGAGTTCCTTAGATGTCTTCCTTTCTATCTTCACATAGATCTAGAAGTCAGGAGGCACTATAGAGGGCATTGTCATGGTGTGACTTTGGTTTTAAGTGTTTATGAGCAAAGTCAGAATCTGGACTGTGCTTTCTCAGGGGCTTCATCTCCACAGGTGGTGTTCCCCTAAAATCTTCAGAGTCTGGGAAGACCAGAATTCCAAGTTCCTCAAAGATGTATAGTCACATATTGAGACTTTAAAATGTAGGCACAGGGACATTTTAATCATAAAAAAATAGAGCACATCTTCTTGATCAAAAAAGTTAAAGATTGAAATGGGTCACCTAGTCTGCCCACCTTTTTTTGTATGTAAATCCTTTCTACTACACTCCAAGCGTGGCCTTCCAGCAGAGGATAGCTCTCTTTAAAGTGTTCCAACTCTAAATGTTCTTCTTGAAAGCATACCAAATTTGGATTTTGTTAATATACACATCTGTTTTTTTTAGGTAATCTAGAGATAATCCTGTTTTCACATGACAACTCTTTTAAACACTTGGCCATAGCTATCAAATTCTCTTTGATTTTATATGGTTGATTAAACATTTTAGAATTTTTTCAACCACAGCTCATTAATTATGGTGTTGATTCCATTCATTATATTGCATTTTCATCTCTAAACATTTTTAGTTAAAATTTCTTGTTGTTCTTTTAAGTGATTGTATCAAAAGTTGAATGTAGGATAAACTAAAGTCAATTAAAATGAGACTCTACCTTTATTTTTTTTAGAAAGTATTTTTTTATTATTTCAACTTAATATTGCATTGACTTTTTCAATGCCTCTAATATGCCACAGTTTTAAAATGAGCTTAGTGTCAACTGAGGTCATCCTTAATTCTAGGAGAAAGAAAAGGCACTTTCATGTGCAAAGACCCTAGCATTGTGGGAGTTCACTCAATTCAATCTATGTGTTAAACTGCTACCTAGCACTGAAGAGTGTATTCTCATCTTGTTTATAGTGGGAAATGGCTCTATACCCATGCACAAGGAACTTCTTATCCAGAGGGTATGTGCCTGCCCTTTTATTCCTCCAGTGTCATTAAGGTGGGCTGTATTTTATTTATGTTATATTACTTAATAAAAAGTTTGAGTTAAATTTCTGTAATTTTCTGTGTCCTAGTAAAAGGGACCATGTATGCATTCTTTCATATATTTCCACAAAAAATATGTCATCATCAAACTGTCATGTTTTTTTAATTAAATGATAAAAGAAATGTTTGATAAAAAAACTATAAGTGAATAATACAGGCAAACCAGTGGTCAGAGTTTAACAGAACATCATATACAGTTTATCATGCAAAGATAGAAAAGCTCTTTTGCATAGTAAATATAGTTATGTACAGGACGTGTAAAATCCATTAAACTTGGCAGATTTAATAAGTGAGAGTAATTGCTCTTGTGCTAAAAAGAAATTGGATGGATCATTTAAAATATCATATCAATGCAGACTTGCAATTTATTTTTCAAAAGCGTAAGACCCTCAAACGGCTAAATCCCCTTGTTTATCTGATTTTTTCCTAAATCACTAAGCTTCTAGTTAATACTGTCCAAGTAACAGTATCTAAGAAATTCTTGAAAACATCAGACTTGGATTTTTTTTTTTTTTTTGTAGTGTCTCTGCCTAGTTATTGGTGTGTTCAGCCCAGTCTGGTTAAGATGATGAAATTAAAATCTAGTACTTATTAAAATGACTTTATGAACTAGTCATTTTATGATTCTTTGTATGATTATTCCTTTGCCTGTGGAATTTTAGTAACATACATTTTGCATAAAGAATCAATCTAACCTAATATAGATGTCCACCACTCAAATTATGATATTATAACCCACCTAGGACACATTTTAAACTTCAAATGAGTAAGATAAATTACCATATTAGGGGTATTTTACTTTTACAGTAACCTGATATTCCTTCCACTTTGTAAATTAATATTTTTTATTACTATAAAAATTAAATTGTTAAATAGAACTAAAAACATGTAACAATCAACTTTGCCTGGGATTTTGCAGCACGGACCTTCTGGTTTTCTTAATTCTTATGATTGCATAACAATTTTGTGCAATGTGAGACCATACATTGAAAATATGAACAGTGCATATTTTTATTTTTGCCTCCTTTGAATATCTGGTATATGGAAGACAACTAATGATGTTTATTTTATTGGGTAAAGTATTAATTAATAATTTTTAACTCTTTGTAAGAATGTGTCTACGTAACTGTAACAATAACCAATATTATACCACAAAAAAGAATTTCAAAATGATGGAGCTAGAGAGACTCAAACCATCATTTCTCCAACTTCATTATATAATTAAAGAAACTGACGGGCAGAAGAGGGGGATATCTAAGTCTATCAAATAAGTATTAGTTAACCAGAAGGTAGAAAACAGGTTTCAATTATTAGTTCAAAGCACTACATAGTGCAGTGTGCTATCTTGTAGACATTTCTAATGCACATCTTTTTTGGCATCAGGATCTTTTACCTGACCTTAATGTAGTTGCAAGCAGAATGGCACATCAGCTGGGGCATAGCCTGGGGATGCTGCATGACAACTACCCATGTACCTGTACGTTGGAAAGATGTGTGATGAATAGTGGTGGAAGGTAAGGCTCAAACAATTTGAGGAGTGGCTCTTGATTCCAACTCCCTATTGTAGGGATATATTGTGATTCTATGGAATTTTTTCTAATATACTCCAGAAGGTCTATTACAGAAGCAGACATGGTAAGGTGTTTTCCTTGGGAAGCTAAATCTTACCCCTGGTAGTGTATCTCTCCTAGGGATATAATGAGAGACATTCTAAAACTCCATCTGAGCACATTGCAAAAGTATGTGACAGCTAGTAATTAAACCACGGTGCTTAGGAGAGGAACACACTCCACATGACTTGATTTATCATATTTACTTCAAGCCTTCAAATCTTTACTTAAACATCATTCTCAGCACAGCCTTTCCAGCCACCTGCTCCAATTTTTCAATCCTGCCCCCTCACACATCAACCCTAACATTATCTACTCCACACCCTCTGCCTTTGCTTTAATCCCCCTTTAGTACTAACCACTATGTAATAATCTAATATAGACTATGTTTTGCATATTTATTTATATTTATTATTTTATTCCTTCATTAGAATACATAAGGTCAAAGGTTGTTCTGTTTTGTTTTGTTTATTGTTGTAGAACCACTGTCTAGAAAAGTCCCGGACACATGCTAGGTACTCCACAGATACAGAATGAGAGAATGCCCAGCTTCCTTCCGGCATTGAATTACCTCCAGTCAAGTCCTAAGCCTTGCACATCTTTGAACTCTTTCATAGTGGGCACACATACCACCTTGTATGTAGTAAGGAAAATGATTCTTAATTGTGGTCAAGGCTTTTCTATATATTGATTAAATGAAGTAAAGCACCCAAGCATAGTGACTGGCATAGAGGAAGATTTAATCACTAATATCTAATTTTATATTATTATCCATATAATTATTAATTTATTTTCAGGGCCCCACTATCCCAATCTAATAATCTAATGTATTCAGGGTTCTAAAAGTCCATCTATATTTAATTATCATGTCAATAATAACGGGAGTCATAACAAAAAGAAGATGGAAAGGAGGTGAATTTTAGGATTTAAAAAACTGTATCGCATTCCTAGAATGTGTAAGATATTATTAAATAGTTTGTTTTGACAAATGTTTATAGAGGACTGCTCTGTTCCAGTCATTGTGCTAATTCGTGCTTTTTAAAAAAAAAATTGAACATGATACAGTCCTTGCATTGAGAAGCTTATAATTTATAATGATGGTGAACAAGTCAACAGATTATTTTAAGAAAAACAAATAAAAAGTGATATGGAAGCAGCAAGCACAATCAGTCTAAACCGTGGGCTTCGGAAGGGGTTTCTGGAGGGCATGCAGTCAGAGCCTCTTCTCTGAAATATCACGTGTTGGCTGTGTTTCAATAAGACATTTTCTATAATAAAGAGCCCAGTTACTCTGCTATAATAGTAAGGCAGGAGTAAGAAAAGTAAATGGGCTTTTAGAGTTTATTATTTACTTTTGTTCTTTCTAAATTATTTGTAACATTTCACAGTTGTTCTACTAGTATGCATTGATATGATGAATCTTTACTTTTAACTTATCTCTAGCATTCCTGCACTAAAATTCAGTAAATGCAACAGAATCCAGTACGAGCAATTCCTGAAAGATAATAAGCCAACATGCATGTTTAATGTTCCATTTTCTTATAAGTTAAGCGATTCTTCATATTGTGGAAACAAGAACTTGGATGAAGGAGAAGAATGCGATTGTGGCCCTATTCAGGTATTGGCAAATGATGTTGTCTTTTAAGGACAAGGCTTATGTTCAGCTAGAACCTAGGCAGAGACGTAGCCATTAATTAACCATGATATTCCTTGAAAGTTTTAAAAACTGTGCTTTTTTTTCTCGTTTGGAGACAGGCTGTTGGTGCAGCCCCATCGAAGGCTTCTTACTGAGTAATAGATGGGGTATAATGCTATTGCTGGAGGTGCATTCCATCACTTTTGTCTGCTTTATATATTAATTGGCTCTTCTTGTGAGAAGGGCCCATCTGTGTCATTGTCTAGTCTCTCATGCACCATCTGAATTTGTTCTGCAAAATTCTTCACAGTCAATTTAGTTTTACTCTGGAAATGATGAGGTTGGCCTATAGCCTAGTGGGACAGTCCATGTTATAAGAAAACTGTCTTAATTGAGCAGGAACTTTCTAACTTTTCACATATTTACTGCGGTCTTGGTTTCTGAAACATTTAGAATAACCCTTTGAGGAAATTGTTAAAGTAATTCTTAATCAGCTTTTCTCCAACATAGAAGTTATTTCTTTCAAGAAAATGTCCTAGACAATTTCTTCTCAAATTATCGAGTACATATAAATCAGTTGGGATATTTTTAAAATGAGAATTCTGCCCTGGCTGCTTTGGCTCAGTGGTAGAGTGTCGGCCTGCAGACCAATGAGTCGCTGGTTTGATTCCACCCAAGGGCATGTACCTCAGTTGTGGTTTATCCCAGGCCCTGGTGGGTGTCGTGCAGGAGGCAACCAGTCGATGTGTCCCGCTCACATTGATGTTTCTCTCTCTCTCCCTTTCTCTCCCCCTCCCTCCCACTCTATCTGAAGATAAATAGAAAAATATCGTCAGGTGAGGATTAAAAATAATAAAATGAAATAAAATGTGATTCTGTTTCAGTTGGTCTGCAGTGGGCTGAGCTCCTTTATTCCTACCAACTTGATTATGCTGATGCTGAGGGTCCAAGGACTGGATTGAGCATCTACACTTGATACATGGCACAATTCAAAAAAGTCTAATATGATGGCAATTAAGAAACTCCACAATCAGAGTGGGAACAGTGATATGTCCAGAGGTTATAGCACATCAAGTCTTCAAATGTCTTTCATTAAATGTAAAGACACTTTAACTTTGGAAATTGATGCCTTTGCCCTTGCACCTTCTTCGGAATAGTCCTACAGTTTCACTCTAACACATGAAGTACCTTACATGACAGGATACAGTTTTATTTGCAGTTTAAATTTTGTTTGAGCAGATAGGACCTAAGTGTCCATCTTGCTGTTATTATTTAATTACGCACTAAAAATACATCGGCCTGAAATACTTGGCATCTTGAAGAAAGTATAAAATTAGATCTTCAGAAGTTGTATTTATCTCACATCAAACCTTTAGTATAGAGAAGCAGCAAGACCCTCCCAGAGAACAGAGTCATTAGGAGAATGAGAGGTCACAAACTCTGGACTTTTTATGCTGCTCTGGGATACTCTGGCTATTCAGTATCAACTGAGAAGGAAACAAAGTAAAAGTCCCCAACACCACTGGCAAGCTGTAGTCTTTATACAGGGTTTAGCAAAAGTAGGTTTACAGTTACGAGTATGAGAAACAGTTTATTCTTTTAATATTTATTAATTATTGTATTATTTTCCATACTAACAACTGTAAACTTATTTCTTCCCCACTCTGTATAGATGTCATAAAGAAGGACCATGCATTTGTATTTAACTCTGAAAGACAAGTGATGCTAAATTACACAGAAGCACAACTAATTAACTCTTCTAACAGGAGCCAAACTGCAATCCAATGTCTGATCTTTAATTTTTGGTTATTGTCAGGAGTGCACTAATCCTTGCTGTGATGCAGAAAAATGCGTGTTGAAGCCAGGATTTACTTGTGCAGAAGGAGAGTGCTGTGAATCTTGTCAGGTAAGTCCCCTTGCTAGCACCAAACCCTATACCGCTAACCCCAGACTGGGGCTAGGCTTGCTGGCACACAATAGAGCCTCTTCTGAGACTGGTCTGGGAAGCGGAGAAATGGGTAAGCAATGCTTGGTTTTAGGAATGGAGTTACATGGCGAACATTACTCTTGCTCCTTTATAAGTCATTATCAACCTATTCAAACTCAGCTTGGGGTGGGGGTGTGGATTGGAGGGCATCCCAACAAGGGAGAACTAATAGGGGAGGGGATTGTTTTGAACTGGAGATGTATTTACAGGAAAGACAACCAGCAATCCAAATGGCTCTGTGTAAGCATTTATTGACACTTCTTTACACCACTATGTTGTGACGTCATAAAGGAAAGGAAACATATTCTGTTCAGCTTGAAATCTTTCCAGAACTTGGCACAATTAAGTGCATATTGAGTGGCTGAATGAGAGAATACTTCCATGTAGTGCCCTCCAATAGCAGGCAGGGGATTTTTCGACTTCAAAGGGAGAAATCTTACTTCTTGGAAAGAAAGTTTCCTCCTTATAAGCAGGGGCTCCCAGTCGTGTGCATGTGTGGGAGGTGGGGGGACTGAAGAAGACCAGATGAACAGAACATTTATTTATTTCTTGTTTATGTCCATCCCAACTCTGCCCAATGCAGTTCTAATACCAAGTTACAAATTTGGCATTGCTTAAATTAACAAAATCCAAGACATTCACAAATGATGATAATTCTCAGTGGAATGGAAAAGGCAGTTATGATTCAGCCTTAAAACATTTTTGAGATTAATTAAATGGGTCAACTTTCCTCCTACTTACTGAACCTTACCTACCTAAATTAGTCCAAGATTTAATATCTTTATTTTCTTCAACAGATGAAAAAAGCAGGGTCTGTATGCAGACCAGCAAAAGATGAATGCGATTTTCCTGAAGTGTGTACTGGCCACTCTTCTGCGTGTCCTCAGGACCAATTCCAAGCAAATGGATTTCCTTGCAAGAATGCAAAAGGCTACTGCTTCATGGGGCAGTGTCCCCTCCCGGATGGCCAGTGCTCTGAATTGTTTGATCACGGTAAGGGACAGTTACAGGGGATGCCCTATAATGCTAAGAGCTATCATTTCTCTGTTATTGGCCTATACTAGGCGCAAAATTAGTAATAATGTCATGTGTGGAATTTTTTCAAGATATTACCTAACATCTCTTCACATATTACTTTTCATATAAATTGACATTATATCTGGGTTAAGGTATGGTTATGACTTTTTTTATATCCATACTAAAATATCTTTCTGCAAGAATAGAACAGTTTTTAAATTATTTATCCCATTCTACTTCACCATTACATAATACTGAAATTCAATTACGTCAGAAAAATAAAGTATTTTATAATGAACAATATACATGCTTTTATTGTTTTTACTTTTATTATACCATTTTGCATCCCAGAGGCAAAAGACAGTTCTGATATCTGCTACATGATGAATAAAAAGGGAAATCGATTCGGATACTGCAAAAACAAGGAGAACAGATTTATTCCCTGTGAAGAGAAGTAAGTGCCCTCCAAGAGTGTTTTGCAAACTCAGAGCAGCTCTTGTTCTGACAGCTGCTACCTGCTCTTTACTGAGGTGAGTAGGGCGAGGCAGGCAGGAGGGGGGAGTGCAGGCCTCCCTGACTGTCAGCTGGCGTCTGTGTACGTATTTACTAGCTGAGGGGCATGGATTGTAAGCAGGAAAGATGGGAAACCTTTTAAATTCTTAATAGAGAAAGGGAGGGATAAAGCTACAATAAAGAGAAAGGAGCAAACAGGAGGAGGGGGAAAATAAGTAGAAAAGGAAAAAGAAAAAGAGAGTGAGGCCATAAAAAGAAAAGTAGAAACTGAAACTGAAAGTTAGACCTGATTTTTCAAAGCGCGGGTTGAGCCATACTTTTCTATTTCTTGCTGATAGTTGGCAGAGTTTTTTATGCCAGAAAACAGGATTTGGCCTGAAAACAGCAGCAAAAAACTATTGTCGGGTTCAGCTTTGCTCCTAAATGGGCCATCATTTAACTTCCCTCAGTTCCAGTTACTTCCTAATCTTCAAGATGGAGATTATAGCCCGGACGGCCAGTGTGGCTCAGTGGTTGAGCATTGACCCATACACCAAGAGGTCACTGGTTTGATTCCAGGTCAGGGTATATGCCCAGGTTGTGGGCCTGATCCCCAGTGGGTGCATGCAAGAGGCAGCCAATCGATGTTCTCTCTCATCGATGTTTCTCTCTCTCTCTCCCTCTCTCTTCCTCTCTCTCTATGGGGAAAAAAAGGAAATATCTGTAACAAAAATAAATTAATAAAAACTAAAAAAATAAATAAATAAAATAAAATCAATAAAGAAAAAATATTTTTTAAAAATAAATAAAAACACAATGGAGATTATAATAATAGCAACCATGTTATTGTGAGAAATCAAGGGATGTGCTCTATGCAAGAGAGAATAAGAAAGAAATCTTAGTGTCCTGATTAAAGCTATGCTAATTCAAGTTACTAATAAAAACATTCTTCGGTAAACTTAAGCTAATATTGATTTGTGAGAACCATAGAGATATAAAAAAATATATATGATCATTTTACATCTGTACTTATTCATCTGAGTTCCCTGGGTGGGGCTTGACTGCTCAGCAGTTTACCTGCCTGTCTTGGCCCCTTGCAGCCTGCTGGCACACCTGGGTCTAGGAAAGAGTGGCCAGGCAAGCCTAGTCTCCAGAGTTCTGTTTCTGGTCCCCAGTCTGAGAATACTGTCCCTTTTCTTCAGAGATGTCAGATGTGGAAAGTTATTCTGCACCGGAGGGCAGCACTCATCTTTTCTGGGAGAAGAAAAGATCTATCACCTTGAGGCTCCAAAGCAGAATGTCACCATTGATTGCAAAACCATTTTATTATACCTCAATTCTAAAGATTTGGGCCTGGTTGCTCCTGGAACAAAATGTGGAGATAGAATGGTAAGATGAAGACTCTTCGTTTTATCAAAACTTCTTGGTTCAGATACTTTAAAACATCTTTGGACCCTATAATTGGTTCCAGAGGACCTATATATGAGAAAGCAGAATATAATTGGTATTTTTTTTATTGAGCAGAGTAGCAATAACATTTTCACAAATATTCATTTTGTTCCATTTTAATTATACAAAATGATATGTAAATATTATAAATGTGCTTAAATAGTATCTTACAGTAGACATCTAATAAAATTATAGACAGAATTTTAAAATTAATTTGACTATCAAGTAGCCATACCTTTTTCATTTATTTTATTCATTCGGCCATATTAACTGGGCACACTCTGGTGCCAGTGACTGTGCTGGACGCAGAGGATGCAAAGATGAGCATATTTGAGAATGCCATGGATTAAATAAAACACATCATTACAATCCAACACAAATGCTTTCATAGTGTTGTGACCGATGTACATTTGAATCCAGAGGACTGACTTCACTTGTAGAGCACAGAATGGCATCCTATAATGAGTGACATTTCAGCTTTGACTTGAAAAACATTTAACACACAGAAAATGAGAAAAGATATTTTAGAAAGAAATACCTACATAATATGCAAAGTTACAAAGTGTATGGCATATTCAGATAACTGAAAGTTTCAGTGTGACTGGAGCTTTGGGTGGACTGGAATGAAATAATTTGAACAGGTAGAATGAGGCCACATTGGAAAGGGTTTATTATTCCAAGTTAAATTTTAGAATACATACTGAAAACAATAGCCACTCATCAAGGTTTATAAACACACCTATATATGGAAAACATATAAGGCTTTATAAAAAAAATCAGCTTCTTTGAAACTGAATCATTTATTCTGTAATGTGTCTTCCCTTCCATATGCCGAAATCCATGAACATCAAAATGTCCTTCCTATAATATAATAGAGAAATGAACTGGAAAACAAATGTTCAGAAAGTAAAAGAAGAATGCAAGTTTAAGAACTTAATGGAGACTAACATTTCAAGTCCAAATCTTTAACTCTATAGTTTCCCATTAAAATGACTAAATAAACATCAAAATAGTAAGGCATCTCTATTTATGAAAATTGAGTTATGTGTACCAACCACAAGGTAGAAAGTTCGGGAAATTTCAACAAGATAGATGTGAGGCATCAAGTTAAAAGAAATACCAAACAATTTTTTATCCACTCTAAGTAAGGAAATCAGCCAGAATTACAAAGCAGAAGTATGACAACCCCTTCATGGAACCCCATTAAGAGCAACAGGAATTGAGCAAAAGGGTGATAGGGGAGCAGTTGTTAAGGAACATGTCTTGATCTTATAGGTACATTGTGACCATGTACCACTACATAGAGTGCCTGTTCTTTCAAGAAAAGGCTTAGTCCTGAAGTTCACCAATCACAATGGTGTCAATTCTTTTTTTTCTTCTTTTTTTTTGTATGTGCACCTTGAGGGAACCAAACCCGGAACTCTCTGGTCCGCAGGCCAATGCTCCAACCGCTGAGCCAAACCGGCCAGGACACAATGGTGTCAATTCTTGAACCAATTCCTAATGAGGGAATAGGTGTATGGCAGTATCACAAAGACACCAGGTACAGAATTTTTCATTTTATTTTTACAGTAAGATACTATTTTTAGACATAAGGAACTTGAAATGCATAAAAAACATTCTAATTTCCCTTAGTAGTTATGTTTTCAGGGTAAATTTTAATTTGGCATAAAACAAGAGGGCGAACATATCCACTGCCCCTGGATGCCCTTTTTCCTTAGTTATGCTACAGAACGTAGGATATAGGTAATTTTAAAAAGGAAAAGAAAAGAAAGACAAGAGAAGAGAAGGACAGAGTGGAGAGGGAAGAGAAGTAGAAGAGAGGAGGCAGGAAAGGGAGGAAACTAGTCTTTTCTCTGCACAGAATTTCTGTAAAACTCTCTGTAGTTATCTCTTTATTAAACATACAAAAATGGGAAAATTAAAATAAGAAATATCTCACTATTTCTCTATAGTTGAGATCTAAATGGGATTGAGAACAATGCTGCCCAGTGTTCAATCATGTATAGTCACATGCTGCCCAACGATGTTTGGGTCAACCACAGACTGCATCTACAATGGCGGTACCTTTAGATTATAATGGAGCTGAATTTCCTGTGAGAAATAGGAGATATTGCTCAGAAGAATTTTTTCCCTGATGGGAGCAATATCTATGGGACTTGGCAATAGGTTCCCCCTTACTGACAGTACCTCAATTTTGAGTGCACAGATTACGTCCCAGCTTGTCACCACTGACTTGCTTTGGGCAGAGATGAGCCTTTGCCACAGCACTACACAGTCAGAGGACACTACAGCCCTAGAGCTAGCTTGACTGTCTTCAGAACAGATTGCTGTAAATTCTTTATTGAGGACCTAAGAGCCTGTACAAGGACACAAGTTCACAGGAGGTACCTTAACAAGTTTTTTTTTTCTTTAAATATGATTTTTCTAGTTTGTTTATTTATTTATTTATTTATTTATTATTTTATTTTGTATTAGTTTCAAGTGTACCGCATAGTAGTTAGACAATCATATATACTTTACGAAGTGTTCCCCTGATTTCCAGTATTCACCTGGCACCATACATAGTCATTACAATATTTTTGATTATATCCCCTATGCAATTTACATCCCCATGACTACTCTGTAACTACCAATCTGTATTTCCCAATCCCTTCACCTTTTAACAACTATTAAGTGCCATTGGCAGTTTAGCAGAAAGCTTTCTGTGTAGCCTGTCCCTGTATGTTGGAAATATTTTCAGGTTGTAATTATGTAAAGGATAGGTAAATTTTATTTCATCCATTAATGTTATAATAGAGCCCTTTGTGACAGGTAGGGTCAATGGAACCTAAAACAAAATTCCAAAGTCAAAACAATGGGTCCTTTGTTCTCCACTCTCTCCATATTAAGCACCTTCTTTTCTTATGAATACCACAAAATTCAGTAATCTGGCCACTGCAACAACATCCACCAGACGAAACCACATTGCCATGACTATCCCCTATGTCCCTTTGTCTCTCCATCTCAATTTTTTTGCTCCTATTGATCCTCAGGTCACCTTTCACTCCCTCCTGCCAGTCACTATTGTTATGATCTCTGCCTTTTCCAGTCAGCTTCTTCTCAGTATTTCCAATTAATTCAGCCCACATCCTTGTTCATGGAGCACCCCTGACAGCTTCAATGTTCTGTTTCCACCACTGTTGGGAGGAAGCAGAAGAGCTGTGGGACAGTGTTGATGAGGTCGACAGTAGTGCATAGGAATGTCCTAGGCCTCCACATTCACGCACCATTCACTCACTGGCCGGAACAACTTCTGGTCTCACAAGCTTCATTCATGGTATGTGCCCTATACAAGTGTATCATATTTTATCTTTCATATAATATTTTAGTGTACCTTTTCTATGTTCACATACACAAATACTTACCATTGTGTTATAAGTGTCTATAGTATTATGTACAGGCTTGTAGCCTAACAGCAATAGGCCGTGTCATTGCAGTCTAGCTGTGTAGCAGGCTGCACCATCTAGGTTTGTGCACTCTATCATGTTTGCACAATGACAAAATCACTGAAGGACACATTTGTCAGAGCATATTCTCATCATTCAGTGACACATGACTGTGTAAAGAAAATATGCTCTATAAAGCAAATAGTACAAACAACAACAGATATAAAATAATTGAACAGTGGAGAAGAATTTGAAGAATCAGAGATGATAGTTCACTATGAAACAGATATGCATTAAAAAAGAGAAAAATATTATTGGGGGAAAAAGTTAAAATTAATACTATTTTTAAAATATTACATCTATAAAAAATGTTATGATCTGCAATTAAGAAGCAATACCTTCAAAGTAAAAAATAAATCATGATTGTTGGTTTATTTTTAATTTGGGCAGTAAGCCTTCAAATAGATACTACATAAATAATAGTAACTTAGAAACTAAACTTTTTAACACAGAAAAATAATATAAAGACATTAAAAAAATAAATAAAAACAGGAAAAATAGTCTTAAGAAATCTAATACATATTTACTAGAAATTCTAGATAAATAAACATAATAAATGTAAATATAAAGAAATAATAATAAATGCCCTTGATATGAGGAATGTATAAAATTAAAACTCAGTACCAGGAAGAATTCATAGAAAGAGATGAACATGCATACTTACCCTCACACATGAAGTCAACAATAATGAAAACAAACTATCTGAAAAAGAAATTAAGAAAACTATCCCACTTACAATATCATCAAAAAAAATAAAATACTTAAAAATAATTTTAACCAAGGAGATGAAATCTTACACTGAAAAATGTGACTTTGATGAAAGAAATCAAACACACAAAGAAATGGAAAGATATTCTGTGTTCATGAATTGGAAGATATAATACTGTCATATTGCCCATACTACCAAAAATAATTTGCAGGTTCAATGTAATTCCTATCAAACCTCCAAAAAAATTCTAAAATTTGTATGAACCACAAAGACATCAAATAACCAAAGCAATTTTGAGTAAAGAACAAAGTTAGAAGCATCTTATTCCAACTATATTACAAAATTATAGTAATTTTCACGGCATGGTGTTGGCATAAAAATGGACATATAGACCAATGGAACAGAATAGAGCTGAGAAATAAATCCATGCAAAGGTTTGTGGATATCCACAAGCAAAAGAATGAAATTGGATACTTATTTTATACCATGAACAAAATTAAATTTAAAATAAACTAGAGACTTAAATGTAAGGAATGAAACAGTAAAACACATAGAAGAAATCATAGGGAAAAAACTCATTGACAGTTGTCTTGGCAGTGATTTTTCTGGATATGACACCAAAAACACTTGCAGATTGATGTTTGAAGAATTAATAAGACATAGACATTTTAATAATTAAAGAGTTTGTGTATAACAATATTTGAATGTACAGTACATTATTTTCAAATGACCATCAAACATTTATTGATTTCTTATTCCACAGAAGATCCTACGTGTGATTATTCACAACAGAATAAATTATGTATATTCTAAGAGCAAGTCTTTTCAACTTCTCATTGTTATTTCATTTCTAGGTGTGCAGCAGTGGTGAATGTATGAATATGGAAAAGGTCTACAATTCAATTAATTGCTCTTATCAGTGCAATAAAAATGCTGTAAGATTTTACTTCTTTTTAAATTAATGTCTTACCAGACATTTATTTACATAGGATTTTTTATTCCTGGGCCTATGTGTGTGTAGGTGTGTGTGTTTGCACACATATATGTATGCATAGTGATTTTTAAATCAAATGCACATTTGGGAACCATTTATTCACATATAGATAAAATTGATCCAAAAACCAAACCAGGTGTTACATATAGATATTGCCAGTATTGCAAGTACATTTTATTATTAGACCAGTAATCTAGAAACCCAGTAATTTATGTACATATGAAGGTTAAACTTTAGGTTTAGCTTACTATAATATCACTTATAGTAAAATTACATCAATGTCAACATTTGTCTGAAGCGTTTATGAAAACATTATAAATTTTTTACTTAATGCTATTTTATAATAGCAGTACCCAGCAGTCATGTTTGTGGGTAACATCTTTCCTAAGCCCAATTAATCAGTAACACTGATATAGAGTTTTATATGTATCAGGTACTCTTTCAAGTACTTTACATATATATTAAATTTTAAAAGCTTCATAACAACTGAAAAGGTGAGTCCTATTTCTATGCCTACTTGTACAGATGGAGAACAAGTCACATTTAGTTTATGTGAAAAGAATGTTGATATGTAAACACAGAGAGTGTATGTTCTTAACTATTAAACTATACTCTTTGATGAACTGAACATTGTTCCATCCCTTTTGTCCCACATTAATATTTCCTTATTATTATTAAGCCTAGTTAGAGTCTGTTCTTCGGCTGTGATATATTCAACTCTAGCAAGGTTGTTCCTTTAATAAACGTGATGCCTTCTGGAAAGATAACTCAAGCCATCTTGTTTATCTGGTTTTGAATTAGTCAGAATCATTCTCTTGTTCAAACTCCATCTTCAAAGTTGGTTGATTCTTCTATTTTGTTTGCTTATTTCTTTCAAAAATTGATTTTAGTATGCAGTTTAGCAATTAAGTAATAAAAAGTTTGTGTGCGTGTGTTTGATGTAGAACTAGCTAGCATTCAGCTAAGTGAAGTGCAAAACACAGCTTATGCCGGTCACTTGATAAAATTATGATTGGCTGCTCTTCCAGGTGGATGGCAGTGAACTCGAGTGCCATTGTGAGGAAGAAGAGATAATTGTGAGCTGGGAAGAAACCTTAAATGTTACCAGTGAGTATCCTAAAATATACTGTCTTGCATATGTCAAAAATCTAGCTAGTGAAAATGCTTTCTTTCTTATTTTCTGAGTCTACTACGTATATGTTGTTTCTATATGTATTTGTATGGTCTTTCTTTTTTTTGCATATTTAAATATCCACATTTGAATTTACTCTCATTGACTTTTAGAATTAATGTATCTTCTCCTAGTGAAATTTAGATTAGGTCTTCTAAGAGTACATAACTCAATGAGGTTTTTTTCTATAGTCTGTTAATAACTGAGAATCAAAACTTTTCTGTTGATTGTGGTTTCCTTAAACACAATGGAATCTTGGGTGGAGTGTTAATTACTAGTATATATATGATAATTTGTGTAATATTTTGGCCTTTTACTTTACTTATATATTTTAAATTATGGGGAGGGCGAATGAAAGTCTTTTAAGGAAGAGAGAACCAGGTTTGTAACAGCTCAGTTAAATGTTGATAGTCTATTGTCCTAAAGTTGAAATTCTGGTTGAAGCTTGTGTCTTTTTACCATTCCAGATGTCTCCATCCTGGTTGTTGTACTTGTCCTGGGTATTATCGGTAGTGGGTGTATCGTATTTTTAATTCGCTACCAAAAATGTATTAAATTGAAGCAAGTCCAGAGGTATGTCTGTCTTTCTTATGTGTTGAAGAAGACCATTACTGAGACTCTATTGGCTTTGTGGCTATAGAGTATACTTGATGGAAGTAAAGTATAACCTCTTATTGAAGACCAAGTAAGAGTAGCAGTAAATCAATTTCTAATTCTAATGTTTATCCCAATGTTTCCCAAACTTGGTAGCACATTGAAATTCCAGGATTTCTTTAAAAATATTAATTTTGGTTCTTACCTCATATTTAGTTGTTATAAGGGTGTAACCTGAGTGTCTGTCTTTTAAAAATCTCCTAGCTGGTTTAATATTAACCACAGGTTTATCCCATATCTTGTGTCAATATTCTACTTCCTTCTTGACAGCTCACCCGGAGATACACTGGGAGTGGAGAATAAAGGATACTTTGGTGATGAGCCACAGACAAGGACTGAGCCAATCTTTCCTGATATTCATCCTTTACATGTAAGAAAATTTCATTTGCAATAGTCGATTGACTTAAAAGTTAATGTGTGTTTGAAGGGAAACTAGCCCTAAAGCTAAATGAGGTAGAAGATGCAGAGTAGTTTAACAGGAGTTTATACCATCAAGCCTTCAATCTACACATGGGGAAGGAAAGGATGGCAGGACCCAAGAAGCCAAGCACTATTTCAGAGCAAACTATGTTAGTTAAATAAAATATTAGTTTATGCACAATTAGAAAAAAATACAAACATAAACTATATTCTGGAGAAAAAAGTCTTAATACATTCAAAAGAACTGAAGTCGGTACAGCCAGTGTGGTTCAGTGGTTGAGCCTCAACCCAATGCACCAAGAGGTCACTGGTTCGATTCCTGGTCAGGGCACATGCCTAGGTTGTGGGCCTAATCCCCAGTGTGGCCAACTGATGTTCTCTCTCATTGATGTTGATGTTTCTATCTCTCTCTCCCTCTCACTTTCTCTCTCTCTAAAATCAATAAAAGAAAAAAAAATGAAATAGAAGAATAGAAGTCATGCAAAATATGTTCTCAGCCCTGGGCGGTTTGGCTCAGTGGTTAGAGCGTTGGTCTGTGGTCCAGAGAGACCCAGGTTCGGTTCCCACTAAGGGCATGTACCTCGGTTGCTGTTTGTCCCCAGCCCTGGTTGGGTAGTGCAGATAGCACTACCTTTTACGTCGATGTTTTTTTCTCTTTTCCTCTCTCTCCCTCTCACTCTATCTGAACAAAAAATGGAAAAAATGCCCTCCGGTGAAGATTAAAAAAAAACAAAAACAAAATATGTTCTCAAAATAAAATTATATTTAAAATTAGTAACAGAAAGATACTAGAAAAATCCCCAATTAAAAATTAGATAACAAGTTCCAAGGAACCCATGAATCAAAAAAAAAAAAAAAAAACTGAAAGAAAAATTAGAAAGTATTTTAAGTTACAAGAAAGTGAAACAAACATATCAAAACTTGTGAGAAATAATGAAATTAGTAATGAAAGGAAAACTTGTAGCACTGACTGCTTATGTTAGAAAATAAAAAAGGTATTAGATCAATAACCTTAACTTTAACTTTAAAAAAAATAAAACAAATGAAACTCAATGTAAGCAGAAACAGAAAAAATAAAATAGTAGATTGGCCACCAATGGAATAGATAACAGGGAAAATCTATTAATGCAAAGCTGTATTGTAGATAAGATTAATATTATAAAACTTCAGCCAGACTGATGAGAAAAAAATGAGTTAGCACAGACTTTCAAGAATCAGAAAGGTGACATCACAGGAGATTATACACTTATTAAATTGATAATTAGAGAATATTATGAAAAAACACAATTTTAGTATGACCATGTAATGAGATAGTAAACTTTTTGAAAGTTATAAAATCACCAAGCCTACTCATGAAGAAATAACCTAATAGCCCTGTATCCATGTAATACAGAAATTGAGCTTGTAGTAAAAAAAACAAACAAAAAAAACTTTCCATAAAGAACACACTGCCCATATAGCTTTACCTATGAATTCTACCAAACATTTAATGATAGAATAATACCAGTTCTATATAAACTCTACCAAAATATGAGAGAAAATAGATACTTTCCAACTCATTTCATAAGGGCAGTATTTCTGTTACACACCTAGACAAAGTCATTACAACAGAAAAAAAACACTTGCCAATACTTCTAATAATCATAGGTGCATAAATTTTTAAATCTCACAATATATAAAAAAAAGGATGATGCATTGTAACCAGTTAGAGTTAATCCCAAGAATACAGGCACATTTAACATTTTAAAAAATCACTCAAGCTAATTCACTCACTGTATTATCAGACTAAAAGAATAAAATCATATGATCATCTCAATTGAAGCAGGAAAAACATTTGAAAAAGACTTATTATCTATTTCTGATAAAATTTAGTAAACTCGAAATATAAGGGAACTTACTAAACCTGATAAAAAAGTATCTACCAAAAAAAAAACCAAAAAAAAACAGACCCTACAGCTAGCATTATATTTATGGGTAAAAGACTCTTTTCCTCTAATATCAGGAACAAAGCAATGATATTCAATCCCACCATTTCTATTAAACATTGACTTGAGATTATAGCCATTACAATAAAGGAAAAAATATAAAGAAAAAAATAAATTCTTGATATACAGAAGACGCAATCATCTATAGAAAATTTTTATAGTGAATTTAGTAAGATTTCAGGATACAAATCAGCATACAAAAATTGATTATGTTTCCATATACAAGGAATAAACAATGCAACAAACAAAATAGCATGTACATAGCATAAAAATGTGAAATACTTAGGGATGAATCTGAAAAAAAAAAAAGTAAGCCTAAACATAGAAAACTAAGAAACATCGGTGAGAAAAATCAGAGAAGAGCAATACATGTTTGTGAATCAGTAGATTCACTATTGTTAGGTTATCATGTCACAAACTGATCTATTGATTCAAAACTATCCTAATAAAAAAATCAGCAGAATTTTCTGTAAAGTAAATACATAGATTTAGCCAAGTTACAGGGTAAAGAACAAAAATAAAAATTAATTATTTTTTCATATGCTAGCAACAATGTGAAAATAAAATTTAAAATATAATATGAAATAACACTAAAAATATAAAATACTTAGAGGAAAAGTCTGACAAAATATGAACTTTACATGGAAAATGATAATGCAATGATATGAAAAGTTTTAAAAGACCTAAATAAGGAGGTATATAGAACCACGTGTATATGGCCAATTGAGTTTTTACAAAAGTGATGGGCAATTTAGTAGAGAAAGAACAGCCTTTTCACAGATGATATAACAATTAGATACCTATATATACAAAGAAGAACTTTGATTTATTCCTCAAACAATAGACAAAATTAACTCAAACAGCAATATACACATAAATATATGTATCTTTTTCTTACAAAAATTAAAGTTAAAAAATGACTAAGGGTTGAGGGATAAATATTTGGGGGTAGGAATATAATGACATGCAAGGAAGAGGTAATTTTTTTAAGTCAGGAAAGTGGCTCACTCGGGGGAGAGTAAGTGGATGGGTATAATGATAGGAAACTTGAAATGGCAATTTTATTTTTTAACCAATGCAGTGATTACAAACTATTCACCTTCAATGGTTCATTAAGCCATGAATCTGTTTTTTATTTGTATTCTATTTTCCCATGAACTGATAAAAAATAAATAAAGGACAAAAATGCCAATTATTATTGGGAATGTAGACAACAGAAACTTTTGTACATAGCTAATAAAAATTTAAATGGTATAACAATGGGGAGAAAATGGTACTATATACTAAATCTGATCATATACATGGCCTGTGACCCAGCAATTCCTGTCATAGGCATAAACCCAACAGAAATGTGTACATGTGGAATTGGAAACCATTTACAATAATGTTCTCACAGAAAAAGGGATGAACAAATTGCTATTCATACAATGAACACCAAAGACAAAGAATAATAGATGAAATACTGATATCTACAACATGGATAAATCTCACATACAAGGCACCAAATCCACAAGCAAACTGTACGATTCCATTTATATCAATTTACACTAAAGGGAAAAGTTTATTAAAATAACTTTAGAAATACATATATTTAGTAATGTATAACTTTAGCTATATACATGCAATATATATTCTTAGCAAAATATGAAGACCTATAAAATAAACTGACAATCCCGCAGAAGTCCCCACAAGTAGTGACTTGTTTAGTGCCTTTAACAACAGCCATGATTTCCAATGCATTAAGCTCACTAAAAACAAACAAACCAAAAAACTGTGAATGCAGACTAAAAAACTATCAACTAAGTCATGTCCTTAAAAAAATAATGAAGAAAACATTCTTGATAAGATTATGCCGATGAAGTTACCCAATGCAACTTTTTTGAAGGAGGGAATATAGGCCTTACATTTTGAGGCAAACTATCAACTGACCACTGTTAGATGCAAATGCCAATGAAAACAGTATTTTAAAATTGGGTTTTGGGGGGTTTACGGTGGTCTGGTTACCCAGCTCCCGAGGTTTTGCATGCTTTGCCCAACCTCTGCATGTTCCATGAGCCCTGTCTTTTTCCTGCACAATAATGTAGAACCCACTGCCACCCTATCCCCAGGAACACATACATGACCTAGAGCAGAAATGCTTCTACTGAACTTCACTTGAGTATTTAGGGACAGATAGATCATCTTTCTCTCATTATATGGTGGTTTATTATTTTTATCCATTTGTGCTTTTTATTATACCAGTAGTGACCCCAAGATGATAAAAACAAGTCTTAATTGTGCACTCAAATGGATGGAAAATATTGTGTGATAATGTTTTAAGCTTATATTAAGATTTTGCAAGATGAAATCACATGATGCTAATGTCAGTGTTATATACTTGCCTTAAGGTTTAAATAAGAAAGTGTACGTAAGTGTACTTAGCACAGTGTTTGGTGTATATTTAGCACTTGATATGTGTTAAGTATCAGCTATGCCTCATGTACTGTTGCAGTTACTTTTCTAATTATGCTTTCCTTAAATTAACATGCAAAACAGGTGCACTTCTGCAGAAGCGAGTCCAGGGAGGGCGCCCGAGCATGTGATCAGTGATGAACAGTGACAGCAGCCAGTGAGAGGTGTACGGAGAATTGGGGCATATTTGTCACTTCCTAGAATGCAAGCTTCTTATGGGCCTTTGGCTTTTGAGTTAAATAAGAAACTTAGAAGAGGAACTTAATAAATATTTGTTTAATATATGAATAAACTTAACTCACTACTGATGATGTACATATCATAATATGTTATAAATGTAGATTGTATAGGAGAGTTTGGGCACTCACATCTCATGTTCGGACGTGTGTTATTTGTCATAAAATTATAGGCATAATAATGATTTAGCTGGTGCTTGTTTGACACATTATTTACCCATCAAAGGCCAGTTCTTAGCTAAGCTGGTTTTGGAAAAGTCTGTCCTTGTTGTCCTTTCACTATGACATTAACGGTGCTTGGTTAAATTTTCCTCTGGCACTAGTGCTCTCCTAGGTCCTGTTTCCACTGGAGCATGTTTTCTCCTTGTATTAACATCTGCTAGGGGTTAACAGAAAGCACTTTAAAGGGGCAACCTTGGTCAGGCATACCTGTATTACTTCAGTAAGTTCTGAAGGTCCTCAAAGACCTCTGAGGTCCAAAGGGATATAATGATTGTGGAATTGCAGGCACCCAGACAATTAAAGATATTAAGGTTTGGAAGCTAACAGACTTGCCTTGTGCTACTCATAACATAATACGTAAAGCTCTTACCAAATGTAAGTTGGCTTTAAAGATAAAATCTTAGACTCATCCACCACAAGGGAACAACCCAGGGAAGAAAATTGTTTCCATGTATTTTAATATTTGTACATCCCTGGACTATAGTCCAGGGATGGCTGAAAATTTTATTTCATGGGCTTGGGAAAGAGCCATACTTGCCTGAATACTAATTGCAGGTTCATAGTATTTCTTTTCACCAGTGAAGATCTGCAGGTCCTTGGAGAGACCCCCCACCTATTTTCCTAGTCCTCACTACATCACACTGGTATAGTCCTTTGCAGCCCTTCTGTTGGTTGTGCCTGTTTGTTCATTTTAGTAATAATTTTGATGCCACTTAACCATTCATTGGTTTCTTTAAAAGATCCAACAACAGCCCTGGCTGGTTTTGCTCAGTGGTTAGAGCGTCGACCTGCAGTCCACAGAGACTCGGGTTTGGTTCCTGCTAAGGGCATGCACCTTGGCTGCAGTTTGTCCCCAGCCCTGGCTGGGTCATGGGGGTGGCGGCCACTCAATGTGTCCCTTTCACATCGATGTTTCTCTCTCTCCCTCCTGCTCTATCTGAATTTAAAAAAATGGAAAAATGTCCTCAGGTGAGGATGAAAAAAAAGATCCAACAACATAACTCTCTATTTGAAGCAGAAATAGGATACTCTCTAGCTCTCCACAGGTCTGGGATTCAGGAGAGAAGAGCATAATGGCTCATGCAAGTACACAGTCAGAGGCTGTCTTTCTTTAAAACATTGTGTTCATCATGAATTCTGAAAAATTAGTTTTATATCTTTATCACAGTTACTGAGTGTGCATGTGCCCCTTTTAAATGTGGCTCCTGAGACAAATGCCGTGCTCACCTCCCCCTAGTCCTGGTCCTGGTTCTCAGGGGTCAAAACCCAATGATGGTTTCCTGTGACGCCTTGATCAGCCTGAGGACTTTCCACCAGCTGAGAAGGTGTATTCCCTGATCAATATTGATGAGGGAGAAACAAATTAGCCAAATTTGCACACCAGCATTAGAGACTGAGTCCAAAAAGAGATATTACCGGCTCTCTAGGATCACCCAAAAGGCTGGAGTCTCTGTTTCTACACCTGTATCCCCGAGGTCGCAGAGTAGGAGGCTCCTCACTCAGAGTGGGTGCTGAAAGCACCAAGCCTCTCAATTGCATGTTTTTAAAATGAGCACTTATCACTATGTCGTCTTTATTCCTGGCTAGAAGTGTGATTAAGATAATTTCAGCTGCACTTCCACCGAATCCGCCTGTCACACAAGAGGCTCTCAGCACAGCCCATTTTCATAAGCTGGTTTTACTGGAATTTTAATAGATACACTTTGTGAATAAAGGCTCTAGCACTTGAAACATGTTTGGAAATCTCTTACCAATATATATTCTTGAAGAGGTTCACAAAGTTTACAAGGAAAAATGGTTTCTGATAAAACTTTGCTTAACCACAACCATCTCCCCCACCCTATCCCACAGGAACTTCAAAGCGCCTTAGATTTTTGAGTCAAGCAGTGGCAGTCTGTGTGTGTATGTGCTCCTGTGCATGTGTCTCTATGTGTGATATCTGATATCCTGACATGACATTTATTAATTATAGAAATCTGTGAGTAGAGAGACAAGAGGACTCGCAGTTTCCAATCAACATACTAAAATGGTAGGCTGCCACCCCACCTTTTTACAATTTTCAAAGGCTAGCATCCTGTTTTGTTCTTTATGTACTCATTGATTGACTAGGAACATTCTCTGTTCTCATCAAAAGAATACGATGGTTGAAATTGTTTCCTCTGATATGCTAACCCATTTCTAACCCATAGTCCAGCAGAGCATGTTTTCGTTAATCCTCACCTGAGGACATTTTTCCATTGATGTTTTTACAGATAATAGAAGGGAGGGATGGGGGGAGAGAGAGAGAAACATCAATGTGAAAGAGGGGTCCAGGTACATGCTCAGGCTGACACTCTAACCACTGAGCCGCACCGGCCAGGGCAAGCAGAGCATATTTTTATTTATTTATTTAGGTATGTGCCCCTAGCGGGAACTGAACCCGGGGCTCTCTGGTCCTCAGGCCAACGCTCCAACCACTGAGCCAAACCGGCCAGGGCAGCAGAGCATGTTTTAATCCAAGATTCTCAGTCTCACCAAAGGAGTGAGCTAGAATCCAGTTCTGTCAGAGTATCAATACATAATGACAAAAACAAAACTTTTTTCTTGGCCACTGTATACAAACCCATGGGCTTTCGTGAGGTATTTTAAAGGACATTATAGTACTGGTAATTACAGAAAAGGTGTCATTTCCAGTGATAAAGCTTTTTTTTTTTCATGACCACTTTATCAAAGTTTTCGCTTACAAATCAATAACTGACTGTATCTGAGGATTGATTTCACTTTTGAATTATTATGTTAATGTTAGAAAATTTATCAAAAGTGTGAAAGGAGACAAAATTATCAAAGGGCGACAAAATTAGGACTCGCTACATTTCAGAATTTATGTTTTCTTTCCTTCCTTCATCCGTTCATTGATTTTTGTTTAGTGCCTACAACATACTGAGTTAATATGAAACTTTCCCCCACAAAGCATTTTTATAAGAAATTCTGCCCAATACACTTTTGTTGTTGGAATGGAGCAGAAGATATGTTTCTACAGTGATGACCCTGTCTCATACTGGAGAGTGAAGAGAGCACTCCCGGTGCAAACAAACTGGCTTTCTTTAATGAAAAATGCAATGATTTTCTTTTGTTTGTGATAGGCTCATTTATTTTACAATAGCTGCTTAATTAGCCATGGGTAAGGGACCATCTGGCAGGTCCAGCAACCAGGACTCTAGAGGGGGAGTGAGGATGAGGAGGGACAAGAGACAGGAGAAATGGAGACAAGACAGGGTTCTGATCAAGTCCCGTTTATTCAGGGGGAATTCACACAATATATAGGGGAAGAAGCAGAAAAACAAGATCATTTGTTGCCAAGCAATAAGTTATTGAGTAACCACCCCGAAGCAATTTCACAGGTGGAACAAAAGATCAACAAAGACTGGCTTGTTGAGTAAATGGTTCAAAATGCAGAGATAAAGCAGAGATATCCTGCCTTGGGGCAGGAGATGGCAGAGCAGATTTTAACAAAAGGGATGCCATGCAAAAAGTCTCCCACAGGTAAGGAGGGCTGGGAAAATGTGAATAAATGTACTACAGCAAAACCCAGAAAGGTCATTGTAATTAGTAGATGTAAATAAGTAACTGAAATAGAACATGCTAATAGATTTTATGGAAAACAACTTACTTTTAACCATATGTTTCTGTTTAGAGCTTGAAACTGGACATCCAGAATGGCTGGGCGAGGCTTGGTTGAGGCTTCCAGACACCGGAGCTTCACACCCTTTCCTCAGGGTTTACTACACAGTTGTGGCAGTTTTCCCACGTTCTTCATTCAGACAGAAAACCTTGAAGAGAAGCAACTTCTTTCTGTAATGTTTGCTGGTAGAATTTATCACCTGTAGTGTCTTAGACATATGCTACAAAAAAATTATTATAGTTTTTCAAACCCTCTTTGGCTTGATACAAATATAAACAGTCTCCTTGCTTTAGTATTTCCCTATAAAATGTTAGTCTACTTACTTAAAAAAAGAGTCTAAACCTTGAGGATAATCTAAGAAGCAAAAAACACTGTTTATATAAGGTTATTTCCTTGGTAGTATAAAAGTACTTACCTTAATTTGAACATGACATGATTACCATTAATTCTGGATTAAGTGAAATTGTCTCCCGCAGAAATGCCAAGAAATTCAGTGCAGAAAGACACTGATTTCACTACCTAATTAAAAGGTAGACAATTATTTTACTTATTTTCTTTCAGTGAAGGAGGCAGAAAAATAGTCACCCTAATTGCAAAATACTCCATGTGTTGACAGCAGTAGAAAATGTAAACTGTTCCTGGTTAATTCTACATTCCTAGAATTTAATTTAAAATTCTCAGATCTTTAGAATTCCTCAGAACCTGACAGAGAAGTCAGAGGGTTAGAAGAATTTCAGAACATTAACTTCAGCAGAGAAGTGCAATTCCCTTTAAGGGCTGTGAGACCCTTATAATTTATGGATTATGGATTTGATCACTTCATGTGTGACTTATGTGCTGTCTCCACTTCTCCCCGTCAGTTGATTACAGTGTGCGGGATTGTCCTGGGAATGATTTCAGCTACTTCTGATATGGAAGCTTCTCAGCCTGTTCTCTTATGCTCGCTGCTTTCTTTTGGTTAACTGTTAAAGCTGCATGCAATTATTTTTCATTCATGGAAATAAAGTTTTCAAATGCTAAATGAAAATTTTATGATTTAATTAAATAAAAGTTGCAAATCAAGAAGAAGGCTGGTTGTCGCTGGTGAGATTTTTGCTGCTAAACTGAAGAGTCAATAGAGAAAAGAGATCACACAGCAATGACTCAGCACTTTATACCTAGGCAGCTGATTGTTTGATGTTCTAATTAAAACAATCCCTTTAAGGAAGAATTATGATAAATGTGTACTTAAAGCAGAAGATGCTAATTTAAATATTTTATGTAAATTTATGAAAAAAGAGAAATTCCATATAATATATAAAACCTCATAAATAGTAGCAAACAATAACCCTCTGGTGTTCAAAATGAAGGGACAGCGCAGCTGGTGTGGCTCAGTGGTTGAGCATTGATCCATGCACCAGGAGGTCGCCAGTTCGATTCCCAGTCATGGCACATGCCCAGGTTTTGGGCCCAATCCCCAGTGGGGGGCAAGTAGGAGGCAGCAAATTGATGTTCTCTCTCATCAATGTTTCTATCTCTCTCTCCCTCTAAAATCAATAAAGAAAAATATTTTAAAAATTAAAATGAGAAAGATATTTATGATCAGAAGGTACCGGGGTTATCTGAAGACAGGGAAGCAGGTTAGAAGTCTAGAGTGATTAGGTAGGAAGCAATGAGGCAGAAAGATCTGTGGGGTACCAGGCATATTCATAACTGGAAAAAGGAAGAAATTTGAAAAAAAGTAAATGGAAATGAATACTTAGGGGAATATGGAGCCCAAGGCAGAGGAGGTGGGTGGTGATGGTGAATTCTCTGGAAGAAATAATGGTAAGAAGAACAAATCAAGAAGGCGATCCTTTTATACGGGAATATGATATCACCAAAATGTACACCATATGTTCATCATTGTCCAGGTGAATATGAGTATGTGTCTGTCCCTTCATTTTGTTTCTTTGTTTTGTTTTTTATTTTTTTTTTCTTTATTGATTTTAGAGAGAGAGGAAGGGGGAGAGAGAGGAAAAAAAAATCAATGAGAGAGAACATTGATTGGCCACCTCCTGCATGCCCCCCAATGGGGATTGGGCCCACAACCTGGGCATGTGCCCTGACCAGGAATCAAACCAGCAATGCCTTGGTTCATGGGTTGATGCTCAACCACTGAGCCACACCAGCCGGGCAAGAACCTTTTTCATTTAGATAGTGTTCTTCATGCTTGCCCATACTGTGTCTCCTAGCCCTTAGCGATGTTACCTGCACTCCTTTCAAATGCTGCTACTACCTGCTCTATTTCTAAGGGAGCTTCTCCTTCAAATACTGTCTTTATATTAGGAAGCATTTCCAACCTTCTCCCTACTAGTGGTCCTGTTGGAGGCCCAGTTCTGTCCCTGGTTATGGAGCAAGCTATGATTTTACATTTGCAGTCTACGTACCTCTGTCTTCCACCTCAGTCCCATGAACTTCTTGCTGCCCACCCCACACACAACTTGCAAACCCTTCCTGATGCTGGTACTTGCCTAAACTAAGACTGAACTTCTTACAACCCTAAGGATGCTGTTTCTTGGGGGAACTGGGCAATCCTCTGCAGCTGGGTCATGTACTCTCTGTTTTAGACAGAGGTGGATTTATCTGGAACCCAATGAAGCTTGAGCTTTAGGATCCATAACATATACTGCCCCTTCTAAGACTTTTATTTTATACTAACTTTGCATTTACATTTTTAATGACATACAGTGAGCTGGATTTGGGGTGGGAAGGAGAAACTCAAATGATTAATCAGCAGAAGTGCCCATAGGAAACAAGATGCATCTTTGTTTGGCTGATGTTGCAATCTCAACGAGAGTGAGGAGTGGACCGGCTGGAAACAGTGTCAGGAGAACTGGGAATGAGAGGAGGGTGGCAGGTTTGACAGCTATCCACACCCGCCCTGCTGACTGGGGAAAGACCTTCGTAGCAGTGAGCGCCCCAGGAGCCTCAAAGAGAGTAAAATCCCAGAGAACAGTGAAAGCTGAGTGAGCTTGGACTGTGTTCTTCAACACACATGCAGATCAATGGCAAGGGCAGAAGCTTTACCAGCTTGGGGAGTTTGAACAAAACCTTTGCTCAAATCACTGGCCACTAAGCCATGCGGATCTAGGGCAATCCATAGAAAAACAGTATGGAATATAAAAATATGAATTACAACCTGAGCAGAGACATCAACTGTATATTTCAGGGGACAGAGGATGGGCAAGGTTCTGCAGTTGAAGTTCAGGTCATTTAAAAAAAAAAACACTCAGAAGAAAGGGGGGAAAAGGCTTTCCCTGTGCTCCTGATCAACTCCTGTTTGGTACTGCCCGATTCAAATCAATTTTTGCTCAATAAACTCTTAATAAATACTCAGAAAAGTAAACCAGAATCCATATTTATTACTACATATTATCTAAATGGTACTGTGCCAAAAAGTTTCAAGTACATTTTACATCAATTTTGTCAGGAATATAGTGATGGTGGTCTAAAACAAAACAAAACAAAACAAAATAAAACTAGCATTCCCAACAGAGCATCAATTATTCTCAAATATCGACTAACTACACATCGCCACTGTGCCTTTTTGTCAAGGCAGCTGTCATGACAGATGGTTGTGGAATTTTAAAAACTGCATGGGATTTACTAAAATTGGGCAGTCATATTCTGAAGAAAGGTAATCATTCCTTTAATAGCATGCAAATGTGTGGCTAGACTGTACCTGACAATCCATTGATGAAGTTCTTACAATGACCACGAAGAGGCACTCTAGCAAACAAAATATGTGAGCTAGAAAATTCCTTGATCTCATCCTTTTGTCAGACAACCCTAGGCCTTCAGAATTGTGACTTTAAATAAACTCAATAAGAAATTTGTTAAACTCCTGTTCCTTGTTATTAAAGATGTAACTCGGGGGGAATTTTGCCACCCACCACTTCCTTCTCTGCCAGGGTTGTGACTTGAAGTACAAAAATGGGGATCATGCTCCTTACTGAGCAGAACGAAAGCTGGGCTGGCAGCCTGAAAGCTTTGAACAGAAATTTTAAATTGGAAAGATAAATGTCATTTACTCTCATTTCTGACGTCCGGTCTTCTTAAAGTTGATTTGCAATAATTCCAAAATTATCCCTTCTCCTGAGAACTACTGTGGAGGTTTAGTTTATGGTGTTATTGCTTTAATATTATCTGTGTATCCACTTTTTCTGAAGACCAGAAAATTAGCCACTGGTGCCATAGAAACCTGGAGAGCGCCCCCCTTTCCTGGGGACACATGGTGGATAGTAAATGTCAGGCAAAGCTGCAGCCTATGTGACTTATACGACTTTGTGTGGACTGTTGATGACAACTGATGTCTCCTTACTAATTATCATCAAGGAGTGAGAGATATTGACTATACTCCTAAGCTTGTTGGAAGCTTCCTGATCACTTTCTAAGGGAAGGTTAGGCTTTCAGGAAACTCCAGAGCTGTTAGGTTAGGTGGGGAAATGCTGCCTGTGGCCTGAACAGAGTCCATTAACATCTTTCTCCAGGAAAAGCTGCAATCATGAGCTCTCTGTAATGGTTATTGATTGCTAAGAAAAGAAGACACACATAACTTAAAACCTCAGGGGCCTCTAGGGATAAAAGACATAGGCGGGGGGGCTTTCAGGATCACAGGAGTGCTGATTAGGAAGCAATTGGTCAGAAGTGCCTCCCAGAATCTTAGATAAGTGATTTGAAAGTCAGTGCTTCTGGCTCAAGGATACCAGTAATTTGCTGCAAGGATAGCAAATAGAACATTTATTGAGCACACACTATTTGTCAGGCATTGTTCTAAGCACTTCACATGTATTATTTTATTTAGCTTAAAACATCTCTGTGAATTAACTACTATTATTATCCTCATTTTACAGTGTGAGAAAATCAAAGTCCAATAATTTGCCAAAAGAGATAGCCAGTCAAGTAGTATAGTCATAATATCAACGCAGGAAGTCTAACTCCAATACTTTCAATCCCTACCATGCTGCTGGTATGCATATAATACTGTTCAGGATACGGCACAGACCTGCAGACCTGCAGTATATCTCACTTCTACTCTCATTTTTCATCCACCAAAACTCCCAACCATCTCAGTCACAGTGATGCCCAGGGTTATACAGCAAGGGAGGGAAAGGGAAGCCAGGCAGCAGTCACCTCCCAATTTAGCCAGACCCTATCTGAGATGCTGCTGTCCACATGGAGCTGTGTTCAGGGATACATCTGAGACTGTTTGTTGTTCTCTGGGCCACCCTCTAGGGGGTACTAGTGATCCTAAAATCTTTTCTGGGTTTTACAAGTACTTTAGGTTCTGAAAGATGCTTTCTCAACAGAACAGGGCTCTGCCTGAGTGATGTTTTAGTTACGTTTAGTTTAGCGTGCCCAGGAAAGCTCTCTGTTGCTGCCTCCACCATCTGCGTGCAAGGAAGGAAAACCATCAGAACTACTGACTCTTGGCAGGTGGATGAGAGGATACAGGGGTCAATAAAGGGGCAGAGTCTTAGATAAAACCTTCTCCCTTGCTTTAATGAAATAAAGAATGCACCACACGAGTGGTAACTTTTAACACATAGGGAAAGAGAGAGTACCTGCACCACATCCTTCAGCCTGCAGGCACCTGTTAGACCTTCCCATACTTCTCATGTGCTTCACACCGCAAAGCTCTGCGACAAGAATCTCGGTCATAGAAACTAAAGATGAGAAAGCAAAACAGAAATAGGAACACAGGCCCAGACCAAAGTCACTGTTACTCACTCCACTCCAGAGGCTGCCCTGTAAGGCACCAATGTGACCGTTAAATGCCCTGAGTTATTTCTGGAAAAGTGACTTTGATCTAGAAAGGGGCTTGCTAGCAGAGTGCAATGGGTGAGCTACGCTTTTGTCATAAAGCTGTAAGGTATTCCTTTTACTTCACATCTTCTCCTTTTCAAAGGGATGATTAAAGGGAAGAAAACATTCAAATGTC